GAACCACCCGCCCTCTCTTATTAAGTTAAATAAATAAAAATAATAATCATATTTTTGAATTGTAGTAAAAAACCAACAACAACACAAAGATCGAATAAAAAGGACTAAAAAACACAAGATTTACTTTAGTAAATAAAAGATTTAGGGGTAGCAACATACGATAAAGAGAAAACACGACTATTGCAGAAAGAGGTACATACTGTTATTTACAACAACAAATATAGAAAAAACGGAACGATCTTTGCTATTGTTTTTAAGCTGGTTTTCTTTTTTAAAATGCTATGTTCATGCTCTGAAAATGCAAGCAGATTCTTATTTTTTTTTTAAACGTAGTGTGGTAGTCATGCTCTGGAAACTGAGAGACTAGAAACCCTTGCACTATCTAAATCAGTAAAATGACTTTTACTTAAGGCACCCTTCTGGCTTAGCTTGCTTTGGATGATCTCTGTTTGCTGGGGTTCAAAACATTGACAAATCTATTATGGGGTAAATTTGGTCAAAGGACTGGCCGATTATTTATAAGCATATTAAGCTAGGAAAACCCATATAAACAAGAATATTATCCGAGCAACGGAGAGGGCACACCGAGAGAATAGAGGAAAAAATGCTTCCTAGCTCTCACTCGTTGTAGCGAACAGAGAGGCTTCGTGCTTCGCTTGTGAGACTTAAGAATTTAGGAAAAGATTCCCCCACCCTCTCACTTGAAGTTAGAGAAGTGCAATATTAAGCCTTTAGGTCCCAAGAGTGACCAATATCAATTTTCTCCTAACAACATCAGCGGATCATCAAGAATAAAGGTTATGAGAATTACTTAATTAATTACCAAAGGGAGAATGCTTTGATCTTAAACCAAATTCTCTCAACTATTCTTAAAAGAAATGTATGGAGATCAGTCTGGAGAGTTTGTATGTGGATCTTGGGGCTTAAAGGGTTCAGTCTAAATACAAAAACTACAGCCGTACTTACTCGCATCGTTTGCTTCCTCAAAGAATGCGTCGATAGGTACACGCGGCGCTTGGTTTATAACTTTTCGCGGTGCGGCAACAGAGAGGCATGTGAGACGCAGAAGAAATAAACCGATGACAAACAAGTGGTGCATCTTGGTCCTCTGTTCAGCTTTACGAGAGCCCTCTATCTGTAGTGTAGATTAGTTAACGTATTCCTAAGATCCCAGATAAGATTGAAAGACTCGTTATATTGCTCGATTTCAAGAGTCGCTCTCTATGCTATAACTTACATCGTGTTTGAAAAATTTTGTTTCGAATGGTTGTTTAAAAGTGCATCTATTTAACAACAACCTTTATAACGGGGAGCTACTTCCCATACATTCTTTTAAATGAAATCCAAACGATGTTCTCACAACTTGCAAAGCGATCAGCAAGGGTCTTGCCAGCGGATTTGTGTACTGATCATGCGCATTACGTCAAAAACCATTGATCAACGGTCTTGAGCCGGAAAAAAACAAAAACCATGGTACGGGACTGTTTCTCACTATTATATTTTGGTAATTCGCAAATTTATTGATTTTATGTCGCTTTTCAGACATAGTGTGTGGTTTTCTTTTTCTGTTAAACAATTTCCCTTTGCAGAGTTTGGAATATGCAACATATAGCTAGCTCCGTATAGCTGCTAAGAAAAGGCCGCCGAAGAGTTGAGCTAAACATTTATTTAGTCCAGGGCGGTTTTTGCCATTGCATGATATTACAAAAGAATAGAAAAGAGAAAAAAAAACGTAATGCAGCAATAGCCTGATTACTGTCGTGTCATTCACGAGAAGAAGCTGCTATTAAAGAGTGTACCCAATAGGTTTTTCGGGATCTGGGATTTCCCTCTTTGGAATCTCAGGATTCGGGTTTTTGTCTCATTTGAAGCTCGGGATTTGAGATTTTGAAGCAAAATTGGGGCAAGATTCGGAATTAAAAATACACAGGCGAGAAGTGGGATATAAAAAATAGCCATCGGGATTAATGCGCAAAAATTTAAATTTGGGTGGGGATACTTAATCTTTTTTACACACGCAGTTCCAAAGAAGATTTTAAATTGTCTACGCTAGCTATATACCGGATAACTCTGGCGCCGGCACGAAGACCATATCGGATTCATTGGGCCTCTGATCACACATGAGAACAATGATTTCGGCGCAGTTTCTGCAACGGAGCGAAGCTACGCTGCGCCCATCTTGAAAGAAGATGGTCACATATCGGATAGGTGTCTTTAACACTCTCGGCAGCAGCGTGAACAGGTGCTTTTCAAAGTTATACGGTGTAGTGCAGATTAGCCTCAGTGCTGGGACAGGTTTCAACGCCGGTTATTTAAACGGGATTATTTTGCAACCGTTTCCTTGTTGCGACAGATTTTCTCATGCCCTGCCGCAATCGGCTAAATTATCCATGATACTCAATATGTACACTGAGACATTCTGCTGTAACGGGATGGTCTTTTATTACCTGTGGGGCAGGGGAGGAGGGTGCTGGGGTGGGGGGTGTCATTTTAAAAATTTTGACTGTTTTCTTTGGGGAGGGTGGCCATTTTCAGATAAGGGAGCGTTACCGGGGTTTGGGTTATTTTAACAGATTTCATGAAACAAACACAAGCACTAAAGAGCGTGAATTGAAAATGAATGTAACCGTAAATAATAATGGTAAACACCGACTGTTGATAATCAATGTGGTGAACTTCGGGCCCATTTTTAGCAAGAATATTGCATTGCAGTTTCCACAGCAATCGGGTGGGAGTCAATTCCACTTTATGTACATTTATGGGGGAATTTCTAAAATGCTACAATGAATGGGGGGGGTGGTAGGTATGAAAATCTTCTAATTTCTCAAAATGGCCGTCCCTCCCGTCCTCCTCCTCAGAGATAATAGACGACCAGCAATTAACAAAGTGATTTGTCAATGTTGCAATCATTTGTACTTGCCGTTATACAACTCGACCTAAACATTACCGTCATAATTAACTGTTTCTACTTTTCCAAGGAAGAAAGACGCCAAGTTGTGTTAAATCAAATGAATACGTTCCTGTCTTCGCTGTTGTTGACATATATAACAAGTGAACGAACTCACTTAATAACAACGGTTTTACCTTTAGAGCTCGATGTGAATGGCCACGGCTACGCCTTGCGGACTGTTCGCTGTAAGAGGATGAAGAACGAAATACAAATTCCCAGTTTATAATTACGTGTTATGTATATAAAGTAAGAACCGTTACCGATATAAGTGAAAAGTAACAAACTTAGACAGGATCTGATACCATGTCGCCGGCAGAATGAAAACCGCTGCTGGCGTCCGAGTGATACAAAACGTCTATCAGGTACATACAGGTCATTCCAAAACCAATGCTATATATATATACTATTCAATTTCCCTGTTAACACGATAATTTTTTTTGCACGTTAGACATGCTTTTTTTTAATCAAGATGTTATAAAATGATGGAAATGGAAGAAAGCCAGTCTTCGTTTTTAATAACTTGTATGCGATGCCGTAATATTTTGCGGGATCACCATGTCGGCCGCAAGGTTTCAGCACGCCAAATAAATACAACTGATATTATACAAGGCAAAACAGTTACTAGCAACGAAGCCATCGAATCTAAGACTTAAAACTGATTTTAACAATCTTGTTACTGAGAGAGCCTTCGATGATTTCTTTGTAAATTTAGCAGAATCCTTGTGTTAAGAAGTTTTTTTTCTTTATAGAATCCAAAGCAAAAATCCTTTTTTCGAATAAATTCTAACAGCTCCTTTCGGAGACTAATATTGCCGTCAACGGGATTTTCTTTCTAATTTCTCTAAAACGGTCACCGTAGCTAACGAGACGCTCTCCTTACGATTATGCTTGTACGTAGCTTGTGATGTAGAAATGGAATCTTATCAAAGGTCCCCTTCCAGTCCTCGCCCCTCACACTCGCGTTTCCATTCGCGTGCCGCTCGCGTGTGATCTCTCAGGCTAGCTCGGCGACGCCTGGCGACGACCGGTCAGCTCAAACAAAACCAAAACGACCACTCAGCGTCCCCTCAGTCAACACCAAAATAACAGCTTTTGCATCTTCAAGGTTATTCCTCAAACTGAGGCTTATCCATAGCAAAAAATAAGAAAATAAATAAATAAATAAAGTTCTTTTTATCATTCTGACAAAGAGGTGTCCCGTATAACTGACATAGGCGCTTATGGTTCTAATTTACTTCGAAGGTGCTAAGAAATAAAAAAAAGAAAAAATGAAACTATTTAATATTGTTTCACCTGAATAGGTTGGTAATTAACAACATATGCCAAGCTTTTTGCTAAGTTGAGCTTAGTTTATCAAAAAAATATATTGATATAGAAATTTATAGGAAGCTTTTATGGCAATATGTCGTACGATATTAAAAACTCTGGTCCAACGAGACACTTCCGGCGGGGAGCAAGATTAGACGTGCAAATTATCTATTAGATTTTAGTAACAAATAGAGATTGCTGCCTTGTAACTATCATGCAAAAATCAAAGTTGAAGTAGTTCAAGTTCCGGTTCATTTCAATCAAAATATTTTTCTGAAACCCTGTAAAACAGAATTCATAATTTGTAAATGCACTATATAGAGCAAACGTGAAATTGAGACCTTAGATTTCATATCTTGCCAGACAGCGTACCATTCTTTTAGGCTAACAAGCTCAAATGCCTCACAGCACATTTTTAATCGAACATACCATTATACTGTACTTATTTTGGGATTCGTTCATAATACAGCGGTTGTCAGTTACAACCCTGGTGAAGAAGTTGGTTTCCTTCCAGTACACGTATTTATTGCTTTATTAATATTTTACAAATTTAATCCTTAATTTTAAAAGGATGATATAAACAATTTATTAGAAATTTGTACAATGAACATAATATATGAGCGACAAACTAAGTAGCTTCAGTAATATCGAAATAGCTCAATGTTCGTAACAAACGATAACTATACGGTATTCCATCAAAAGCAAGTGAAATCTGAGAAAGTCATTGTACATTGGTTAACAACGCAAGTTGATTTAAAGCCTTCTTTTAAACCTCTTTAAGGAAAGTTTGGGCATTTTTCTAAAGACTACAGGCAAGGAATTTCGGAGACAAGGGGCAGCTACGGTTGGAGCCGGGGGTTGGAGAAAGAACGGGCACTGTATGCCTGAGTCTGATTACAGGTACTTCCAAAAAAGTCCCCAAGATGCAAAACAAAGTCATGCGGATCGATGAAGCTGCAGTAGATCAGAGATGTAGGATGGAGCCATTTGGTTATACTTAGAATCTTGCAATCACTCCTTTTGGCGACAGGACCCAATGCAGGTTACGTAATACTGGAGTTATACGTTAAAATCTTTCAGTCTTTGTCAGTAATAACTGTAGCTGCTGCAATATTTAGAATACTGTTGCAGTTTATCAATTTGCATCATCGGGTTCACTTGTGCAAGTTCAAGGGAAATTTAGTTGTGGCGCGCGAGAAGAATGGGCCAATTCTTCTCTCATACTTATCGCTACGCAACCAATTTTTTTTTCCCGAACTCGCAGAAGTGAGTCTGCTCGCTAGCCTCCCACGCAGACGTTCTTAGGGATAGGGCAGGAACGCATGACGAACCCCTAAGAACGTCTGCGTGGGAGGTTATCTACTCGCAGGTTGCTTGTACGGAAGCCTGAACGGCAGAAGACCATAGCAAAAGTCAATTTCACTTGTTACGAACGCGTGGACTAGTTTTGGCTAGTGAATGATTTGCAATCTTCCCAATGTAATGTATCGCTAAGGATGCCGATTTGCAGATATTGTTGCCTTGGCTCTCAATAACTTGCCTTAACACGTGCTGAATGTTTATCCAGATTAGCACCAAGGTCGCATACTACATAGTCAGTTTTAATAGTGATTAGCGCCGATATTTACTTAAGAGATAAAGGGTTGGTGTTGATAAGCCTTGAAGAAAGGTTGCTCCAATCACTAAACTGTGGTTAATATAAACTTTCAGTTTTACCAACTAACGCAAACATTTCTGTTGCTGATACCCATCGTGAGCTAAATCTGACTATTCGCCCGGTGTAAGGTAATCCAGATTGCACAGTCATGGAAATTTTTGACAGTGAATTCCGGAATCCAGTAAATTTCTGCTTGTGGAATCCCGAATTCGGTAAATTTTTGCTCGTGAAATCTGGAATCCAGAAAATTTTTGCTTTTGGAATCTGGAATTCGGGAAATTTTTGCTTCTGGCATTCAGAATCCCGGGCTTTGAAATGTGGAACCCAGCTCCATGAATCGGGAATCCCGCTAACAATTGGAATCCAGAATCCAAGTTCCACAAGGAATTGCGGAATCCAGAATCCAAGACTGTCTTGGGATGGAGGCCACGAGAAAGAACAATACTCAACCGGAAAAACATAATGAAAAGCGAAACAGGTCCCGGGACTGACTCTTGCGGAACACCAAAACACTTAGAAGTTTTGTTTTCTTTTGAGTGTGTGCAATACGACATGCATTAATATGTCATGGTAATTTTTTTCTATGCCTTTCCAAGCTTAGCTGAGTACTCTATTAGTTGTTGAAGGAAACCTTCATTGGGTGAAATTTCTCGTTTGCTTCGAACAAGTCTCACAGCATCCTTGAGTTCCATATCTTGATCTCTAACTAAATAGGCTAAAACCAATGACACAGAGCGGCTGACACCCTCTCTACAATGAACAAATATTTTGCCATTCTTCTTTCCAGTTTTCTTTGTTCCAATTGCTTTCCCTATGAAATCACATGCCTCATCAAAGTATTTTATGAGTTTAAAGGTAAACATGTCCATGGCTGGAACACCGTGGAAGATAAATCCTGATTCACAGTAGTAATCTGGCCCAGTTTTAACATGATAGAATTTGCTTCCAAATGCAGCATTTAGCACATGAGTAATTCCTAGTTTTTGAAGTTTCCCCTCGTCCATGGCAGTCGCACTGAAATTTTTAATAGATTTACATTTAGTCTGGGTTAAATACTTTGGCTAGTCCCACATGAAAATGCAGACAAGCACTGCAGTAACATACACAAAATAATTAGGTATTGTTATTAAGAACCAGATAACGTTCTTGGGTGCATCAATATGAGTATGGCTTCTCTCAACTTGCACCAGCCTTCCTCTCTCAAAATAATTTGTGCCATAGTAACATGGAAGAACAACATAACAGCTTTTACAATGGAAATAAAACCCTATATGTGATATCAGAAAGCACAGGGGACAAAAAACCGCAGATCACAGAAGTGCTGCCAAGAGAGAAAAGAAGGACTGAGAGTCAGGGAAACTTCTCTCCTAGCCCTTATACCATTTCTGAAAATCTCTTGAGAGAAACTACTACTACTACTACCACTTGAGAAAAACTAAATTTGCAAAATTTCCTAAGGGGAGGGGGGGAGCATGCCTACAAACCCCCCTAGAGGCTCGCCTGAAGCGCTTAAAAAAATTCCCTATTTTCCCCCAAAAGGAACTCATATATGCCAATTCTCCCGGATTATCCAAGAGTTACCACGGTGAAAAGACTTGGGGCGAAATGGCCAGTTACCGCTTCCATAGATATTCGGGAGAGGGAGGGGGGAACAGTCTGGAGATTTTAGTTCTTCATGCCGGGCATGACTCGTTGCAAATAAGTCAGTATTGGCTGGATTTTGCACTCATTTGAAGTTATCTGCTGCAGTTGACTTCATTGAAAAAGGATTTGAACCAGTAGTGACGATACCTAGCTCAAGAGGAAGCCTGAACCGATCGAGGTAAACCCTCAGGACCGATGAAGCCGGCATACAAAACATCCTAGCTGAACCCCTACTAAGCTGAAAGTAAGAGAAATTGTGATACTTACGCATCGCCGACAAAAATTCCGTCGAACACCTCGTTGTAAGGATCCGAAGGTAACATGAAAAAACCGTGAGCAGGTTCAGTTATAATCTGATTCAAGTCTTTGACCGTCGTTTTAGCGTCGTGAGACACGCTTTCATCCGCCATCTTTATTTTGGTTCAGAATTCTTATATCTTGCAATGCATGTTGGGTAGTCAGTTCCAACATGGCTTCCAAAACAAGTATTTACTACCAGAGTGCTTACGAAAACGTTTTCAATTTTGCTCGTATTTGTTTAGTTGAACATCAAGCTTGATGCAACTATTCCAGAGGTTTACCTGATATAAATGACAACACAGAGATGTCCTTGAACGGTGAGGAGTCGGGAACGCACTCCGAGTATCTCAGATGAATTGGTAGCATTGGTTTTTCCTCCGGGCTCATTAATGGAAAATTCGACTAGTACAGGAATTGATGATGAGATTGATGCAGTGGAGTTGGCAGTTACATGTGTGGCAGCAGTATTGATTATGACTGCAATTGGCATTCTGTTATTCTACCTCTGTACAACTCCAAGGCAGAGAGAAAGATACTGCAGGAGGTGTAAGAAAACCCAGTTGGTTGAACAGAACCCAACATCTCCGACCAGTTAATAAGAATTCCATGCAGTCATTGAGTTTACGAGGAACTATTGGCCAGGCTGTACAGTGTGATACAAATTTAAGACCCACTTTTGTCGTGATTTGTGGCCCTGTTTTGGTAACAACCCCAGGGGCCCCACTGACATGTTTTAATGACGGGGGGGTCTGAAGGATTTTTTTGGGTCTATGAAAGATGCCGGGATTTTTTTGGGTCGCAAAAACAACACAGGGATTTTTTTGGGTATTGTATTTTTCATCAGCTCAAATCAACAATAACATAAGCGCAATTTACTGCTTGTGTGGTATTACGGGATATTTCTGAGATTGTAATTTATGTGAAAAGTAATTACGGGCACTCCACGCGCATCTAATCCAGAGACAAATATTCAATAGGTCACGTAATTCAAGGCCTTTCACAAAGTTGAAGTTGGCATGTTTTAGCTTTCCAGAAGATAAATAGTAAAATTTGCTGATGCAAAAACACTGAGGGATTTTTTTGGGTATGCTAAAAAAAAGGGATTTTTTTGGGTAGACAAATTCTGAAGTTGGGATTTTTTTGGGTATAAAATATGAACCTCTGTCGGACCCCCCCGTCATTAAAATATGTGAGTGGGGCCCCTGGGGTAACAACCCACCATCTCTTGTTCTACAGACTTCTGCAGCACAGAAGTCAAAATTATGTTTTACCAAATGCGCCACACTAGCCAGCACTGCATTGCGTCATTAAGCAGTGGTAGAACCATATGCCAGCAAACAGTTCTGAGATACGCATGGCCAAGGTGCTGAGATACTCGTTCTTTTCAGAGAGTACCTTTTTTCCGATATACCTCGAGGTCTGGACCTTCCTCTGTTAAGTCACAGACCAGCTGAATGAGGCTCTTGGGTAAAGCATTAACTGTATGATAGGCATTACTGACATACAGGATAACATTTTGGCCCTTTTTGGTAGAAGTGCAGTTTCTTGGAAGAGATATGTATCTGTGACTTATTGCTAGCTGGATGTGACCTTGCGGTCATAATTTGTCATGATTTTGTGTAAGTGGAAATGAGCAGCAAGAAACCTTGGAAGGAACCTAGAGCAAGAGATTTGCATTTAAACCTGGACTATCAAATTTCATGCTTCATGCCTTTGCAATGAACTACAGGGCCGAGTTGTTCAATGCTAGGTTAAGATAACCCAGGGTTAGTTCAAAATTTGAATTCTGATATGAAAGCTTAAAAAGCAAATTCGGTTTGATTCTTTTTGTCAACAATTTGATGATTGGTTACTCTAAAAAGAATAGAGAAAATTGTCCGTGAAAATGCTTTTGATGAAAAGAAAAAGAGACCAGCGTTAAAATTTAACCCTGGGTTAACGCTAATCAGCCTTCAAACAACTGGGCCCAGGTGCTCATGTGTAGGCATGATCCTGGATGGATTAGAAGAGGGAAAAGGAAAAGATGCAAGGGGCGGGGGGGAGGGGTACACAGGTAACCCAACTGCATTTTAACAGTTACTGGTTGCCTGTGAAGAGTCTGTTAATTTGTGCGCAGTCATAAGTGCAATGGAATCGGAGTTGGAAGAATCAGAATGTTTCCATTTTCTTCGGACTCCACTTATGATTCTGTCACTTATGATCTAGTGAAAACCAGATTGTCAGAGTTGGAAGTAGAAGCGGAAGGATAAACCAATCACAATGCACGTGCCCACGCTTTGTGATTGGTTTAGTTCTTCTGTTGCTGCTTGCAACTCCGTCAACCAAGTTTTCACTTGACCGTAACCGACAGAGTCGTAAGTGGAATCAGAATGCTGTTTTCACTAGATCATAAAAGTTATACTCTTCTGGTTACGACTCTGTGAAAACCAGCCTTTAGGAGTTAGGAAAAAAAGGTTTTATCTTTTCGCTTCTCTCTCTCCCTTTCCCCCAGAAATGCCTGATACTTAAGGTATGCAACCTGTGAACTGTTGAGTTTTATTAATTTATTAGCTGCTGTATGTGGCAATAGTCAGGGATTACAAAAATATTTAACAATATTGGACGAGGTTGAACAAATATCATGATTTGTCAGGTGGCAAGTATTATTTGCCGAAGCGGAAGGCTGTGGCAAATAATAATATTGATCTGAAAGACACAGCAAATCATGATATTTTGCAATAATGGAGTGCAGACCACTATTTAACTAGGCAGTTATTTTGGCTTTTGGCCAATGAAAAGTAAGAAACATCAGCATCGAACAATAATGTCAGTTATTTTATTTTTAATAAAAATCTCATTTAATGGGTGGGGTGTTGCCTATCAACAAGTGAATAAAAGTTGAGTTCAAAGACGAATGTTGAAGTCATAATTAAACATCAAAAGCCATTATGAATTTTTTGTAACATGTATTTTTTTATGACACTTGTTCCTATGTGAATTAACTTAACATTTAAACCTGTGAAATTCAATGCTTAATAGCATAACTCTTTAAAAGAAACAAAAGAAAATCACTCTATTTAAGGAAAGCAATAGTAAACTGTTCCTTATTATAATTTAAAACTTAAAGGAAAACTTTTGCTTTGAATTTTTGTCCCAAAAAGGAATGCTGTAAAAGGTTTGAAGAATACCTTATCAAAAGCAGTTACATGTATCTTTTGAATCTAGACTTTTTAAATCATGGCAGTGCCTCTTTTTTCAACCCCTTTCATGGCGATGAGATGTTGCCTTTTACATCAAAGTAAGGCATCAGCTCTTTTTCACTTCCATTTTACAGTTGAGAAGTGTGAAGCATAGTGACCTATTATGGCACCCCAATCACGACCGATGTGATGAGTTTGGGAGACAATGGACAACTTTCTATAATTAGCCTGTGCCACAGACAAAACTTAACTCCGGTTAAAGGAGCTGTGTCATGAAATTCAGCCACATTAGGAAATTACAAAATGGCCATTAAACTAAGAGAAACATAAAAATAACGTCTTAAAACTTTAAAGGAAGGTTAAAATAACATAACAGAAACAACAGATTCCACGGATGGGCAAAACTGAAGAAGACCGAAATGAATTCTGGTTTTTGAAAACTGTTCAGCCCAACAGTCTTTCAAAGTTGATCCCTGCTGCTTGCAACTTCAAAAATAATGCTCAGGAGACATATTTGTTTGCCCTTTAAGTCTGTCTGCAAAACAGTACCGAAATCCTTGTTCTGGGCCCCCAATGGTGTACATGTACCAAGATTTGAGTATGTGTCATGATTGGCTGGTTAAAAAAGCCATGGTCTATTTGCCAATCAAGATGAATGGAAATTCAAAACACACTTCTGGTAATTTGTTGAGTCCATTGGGAGCTGAGAGCAAGGATATCCACACTGCTTTGCAGATGTTACTAACCAAAGTTTATTTACACCTGTGACGCAGGAAACTTTCTAAGTGAACTTGACAAAATGTTTTACTGTTGTCTAGCAAGGGGAACAAATCAATCCCAGCTCAATTTCTTTTGTTCTAGCTCCTCTCGCTGTTTGTCTTGCATTTGTTCTATTTCTTCTTCAGTTGTAGCTACATCAGTGAGTTCCACATCAAGTTCTTCTGTTCTCTCAGCTGATATCTTCATTGGTTGTGTTGGATTTGGTAGTTGCATAAAAGCATCATACACTGACGGCACACTTAATATTTGCTGTTCACCTGTACATTTTGAGGAGAATAAAAAAGCATTGCTACCTTGAACAAATAAATCAACTCTATTTGTTTTTTCCAAGCCCCTGACCCACTCATAATAAATTATCCTGAAATAATTGCACATTCATCATCAAGAATTAATATTAATATCTTTATTTAATTTCCATGTATGAGCTAGGGTGGTGTGGGAAGCAAGGATGGTGCAAGTGGTGAGAGCAATCGCCTCCCACCAATGTGGTCGAGGTTCAAACCCAGGTGTGAATACCACATGTGGGTTGAGTTTGTTGTTCATTCTCGCCTTTGCTCTGAAAGGTTTTTTGGGGGTATTCCAGTTTTCCCCTCTTCTCAAGAATCAACATTTCCAAATTCCAATTCGACCAGGAATGGTAGTCAAAGATCTGAACCATTACGTATGTGGGCTCCTCTCTGTTAACTCAAGGGCTTCTGCACCCTGTCACGCGCAGATCACGTCGCTCACACTGGCAAAGTTTCATCCCGCTTCAAACTAGCCTGTCCTCTATGAATCTATCCTTTTTCTCAAGAACAATTATTCAGTGGAACAATTTGCTGGCTTCTGTCTTTAGCGAACACTGCTCTTTAGACACTTTCAAAGCCCAAGCTGCCGCAATCATCTACCTGTTTATTAGCCTATTACATTGTAAGTTAACTTTTTTTTTTGGCTGACCAATCCAGCCAATGATCCTCAAATGTGAGGGGTTAATAAGGCTGTACACCGTAAATGTAAACTGTAAAATAAATGGTTGTGCTACCTTTCTATCATTATTCATTATTATTTTTTTTATTTATTATGTATGCAACAAACAAAAAATGTAAACATCATACATGACACAAACCGTTTTTTGAAAAACTGACCTCTTCAATAATGATGTTGTTTATTACCTTTTTGTTTTGTTACAAGAAGTCCAAGGCTTTCAAGTTGTTTTACTCCTTCTGATGGATCATATATGACCTTTACTTGAAATTTTCTCATCCAGTCTTCCACATGCAATTTTAATTCGCTAGCTGTCATACCCTCACCTACGCCAACAAAAATTACATTTTTTAACTTTACTGTTCATACTGGTATGCATGAGTTCAAGATGGCTAGATACCTACGAAGATTTTTGTTGTGAGGTCTCTTTTCTATGTATGGACCAAGAAGAAGTCAATGTCTATAAAAATGCCAAAAAAGAGCAATTTCCAACCAAACTGACCTTGGAAACATGCCTGGTGAAAACAGGACTTATTATACAGCAAAAACAAACTTATTTTTCACAGGAGCATTGTGAATTTAAAAATAATTAGATAAATTAAATGGCAACGTTTGTAATCTGCTGTATTTGTTTGTTAGTTTTAGGCCAACAATTTTTAATCAAGGATGACTTTTAATTCCCTTTGTCTTCAAGGGCTAGGAGACAAAGAAAATTGCGAATCAACCTCATTTGAATCAAAATTAAATTGAAATGTGTGGTTCCAGAAAATATCCATACCCCCCCCACGGAGGGTCACGGAATTTCCTAGGGGTAGGGGGGTCTAAAAGAGACAAATTTCTGAAGGGGAGGGGGGTACATAAAGAGTTTTTCTTTCCAGAGGGTTTGAAATGCGATCGAATGAACACTTACGTATTTTTCCAATTGATTCGGGGTAGCCAAGAAAAACCAAAAGTTCTATCCGTGGAAATAGACGTAGGATTCCTTGTCATATATTTTCTATTATTATCCCGGCGCCAGATGACACGTACAGCTCCGAGGCACACCTCTGAGCACGTTCGACGTCGAGTCAAACAATTTCCCGCGAATTTCAAAGCTTCAATAACTAGATTATCGCATGGTTTTATCGTTTTCTGTGTAGTTACGAGTTTGGAAACGTTAGCAAAGTCGATACGATGCCATTTGTTTTAAGCAATTTTTTTTTGTAACCGTGAACAGCGATGAGAGACGGCGAAGATTTCATTTCGTTGTTTAGTTACCGGAATGAACTTGAAAAGTACGTTTTACACATGAAATTAAAAAAGTTAAAAAAAAAACTGTAAGGCGTGAAATTTACTATCATTTACAAACTACAGAGATAAAGCGTACAACTTTATTGAAGTATTCCTGTTGAAAGACGAACTTAAGTTTTTAAAAAACATGTTGCGTGACGGATTATGATTCCCGCTGATAAGCGAAGTCACTTCACGGCTCCACACAGGAAAACAACATTTGTTAGCAGTACTGTTCGCACATTATACTACATGTAGATAAAATTACACCTGCAAAGTACAAAAATATCATGGAGATTAGCATCGAGTCAATTCCTGAGTTTTGCTTCGACAGCAAAAACAAGAATGATGTAATATTATAGTCATTTCGTGTTTAAAGTAATTCGATACGTTGTTTCGTCTATGCATAAATTACAAACTTCGACTAGGTTACAAAACGTTGATGATACCGTCAACTTTCAGTACTTTCTTAGATATTTTTGAATGAAATCTTCTGTCAATTAAGCAGACGAAAGGTCAGCTGCCAGAACTATAGTGTTAATAAGCTCAGTTGTTAGAGTTTGAACATTTCAAAATAGAGGAAGCGAGAGGCGCGTCTATTCATACGTCTAGAATTTTCCACGGTCATTTTTAAGAAAATTAAATCTCATAGCCTCCTCCAGTAATTTTGTACCTTACCTAGCGAATATCTCCATAAATAATGTTCCATGAAATAGCAAGTGTGGTATGGCCAAATCGCTTACGTGAAAATTATGCCGCTTTACGTCTTCATCTGAATTGTAACTATAATCGGCTGCGGCTAAATTTTATTTCGGCACTAAGTAGACCAAAATAAATCAATGAAGTCTTTTTATTTGTGGATTTGGAATTTCCTAGGGGTAGGGGCGACCAAGTGAAAAAATCATGGAAATTCCAGGGGGTAGGGGGGAGCAACCTGAATCCCTCTGGAACGGAAAATCCGGAGGGGTGGGGGCTCAAACTGTAAACAACCCTCCGTGGGGGGGGTATGGATATTTTCTGGAACTACACAATTAAAATAAATTAGATTTTAATTAATTAACTACCACCTCTAGTAAGCGACCAAAACCACTTTTTGGGGTGATGGTTTTAAAACTTTCCATTGTTTTAATCCCTTGTAGGCAACACTTTTATATAGCCATTTCTATGTTTGCAGTATGTACTATGCAACAACATTTAGTGACAACATGGAGCTACACATGTATACACATATATTCTTCTCACAAGAGGCTCCTGTAGTTTAATTCTTGTATGTGGCCACCTTCTGTAACCAACCACTAAATCTTTGCATTTTGAATGGATGCTTACAGGAGGTTCAATTGCATGATACTTATAAAAAGTAGTCAATGCCGAAAACCATACCTGATGATACCTGTAACTTTGATGAAGCCTGAAGGAAACTGTATGCCAGTAATGTGACTTTGAAAACTTCATCCTCAGCTCTATCAGCTAACAGTGTGAGTAAAGCACAATTGTTAGCAATGGACTTGAAATACAAGGTCTGCCCCAAACGAACGAGGTAAGAATTTCTCTTATTCTTGTACATGTTCCATGCTCTTAGAGCCACAAGAGCAGCTACAGATATGGCGATATAAGTCCAGGAAATTTTATAATCTGCCAGGAAAGACACCAGCTTGATCACTGCACTGGTGGCACCAACTGCAAACATTCCAGTCAACACTCGCTGATCAAACTGATTCATTCTGATCTTACCATCGGGCAGTAAGTGCTCCAGGTTTGCACAGCGAATATCCTTAAAGGACTTGAGCAAAAGTTTGCTCTGTTTCTTGGCACGAATTGCAATGACCACTCGCTTGTACCTTTCAGCCGGTTTGGGTGGCCTAAACCAATGCACTACTCCAGTGGCAATTCTAGAATACAGACGACCGTTATCAACAGGTTCAAATTCCTTTCCAACGACCCAAATCCTCAGTACATCGTACTTCTTTGGATCCACACTAACCAGTACCCCGTCACCAGCATCATGCTCTCTCAGCGCATCACGTACATCTTCAACAGGAAGCTCATAGAAGTGAGCCTTCTCAAGGAGTTGGGATAGCTTCTCTAATAACCAGAACTCATTATCCAGCCTTTCCTGCTTTGATATATTTTGCAGTGTTAAGGTCTCTTTGTCGGGGTTTAGAGGGTCATATAATACCTGTAATTAATTAAAAATAAGGCGAAATTAGAAAGGCTCAGTTCTAGATCCGTGTTCTCTACAAAGGAGCCAATGGAGTCACCCGATGTAAGGGAATCAAGAATCTGGGATATTTTTGCACGTGGAATCCAGAATCTAATTAAATTTTGGTTGTGGAATCCAGCATCCTTGGGCTATGGAATCCAGAACAGCTCAAGGAATCTGGAATCCTGCTACTGATTGGAATTTGGAACCCAAGTTGCACTGACAGAGGATCCGGAATCCACAACATGGGATCCAGAATCCAAGACTGTTGTGGATTCTCTAACATGAGGTGAGTTGGGGTTAGGGGTACTGTGAGTGTCCTTTTCTTTTGACCACTGCAGGGACTAATCCCTTATTAGAGGGGAGGGGGGGGCAAGCTTATTTTTGTGATGCCGTGATTGACTATTTTAGGTGTCCGTGAATTGTAATGTACTGAAAAACTGTTCTGTGAATCATGATTGAAGTGCTCTCTGTAAAACCTGAACTGCCAAAATCCTTGTTTACACATACATTGAAGATCAACCTAAGAAAATAAATCGTTAATTTGGGCAAACGACTTTAACTCGCATCTGGTGGCTTTACTTGACTTCACTTTCGAGTCTTTTGATAAAACTTCACACTTCACTACGCTTAGACCCACCTACAGCTGGCTTCCCTAGGGAATTTATAGGTGTTTTTCATAACGTTCGTAAAACTAGTTAACTTGCTAAAATATAATCGAAGCACTCTGTCTCTGAAATGGGACTAACGTAACATTTTTGACATTTTGTACAACCTCCATTTTTGTTGAGAAGCGTGAAAAAATAAACATTTGTTTAGTGACTTGTGAAATGCAAAATTGGCGTTCATGAACTCGTGATGAGATCCTCCCCTTGCCCCCCCCTCCCCCCCCCACCCCCCTTTATTATGTTTCTACTTCTACTGACCATTTAAATAAATGATTCATTACAAGAATGCACCGACCAGCAACAAAGAATAGCGTATCTATGCACTGCCAGTATGGCGGGTCTAAAATACAGGTCACTTTTCCACAGGTCAGAGTACAGGTCACCATGATATAGATAAGCCATCCAAATAAAATATTTCATTTCCCATCACCCTGTCTCTTTTGATGGTGGGTTGGTCGGCCAAGCCAAAATAAAAAGAATGAACACTTGAAGGGGTCTGGGTTCCGGGCTGCAAAGTAAGAAAGCCTGGTTACAAAGTCAACTTGAAAGCATGGTCTTTTCAACATGTTCAACTATCAAAGGTCTAAGCAGCCTTTAAAAACATAGTATCGATGTTATTAAAGACAAGGATATCAGATCATACCAATTGTTGTCAATAAAACAAGATTGTGTGCTTGTAAATTAAAGTACTTGCTTCTTTGACTAATGAATCTGGAATTTTTTTTTTTTTCACTTGTCGAAAAAAATGGGTCGGTCCGCGGGTGATGGGAAACAAAACATTTTATCGGGATGGCCATAAATAAACAGCATTAAAACTGTCTCCTAGCTCTAATCTCTGAACAAAATGCTCTGTTAGATCGAGGGGAATATGTGTAGTTTGTAATTTATCGATGGAGCAGTGACCAGTACTCTTGACCTGTGGAATTGTGACCTGTACTTCAGACCCGGCACTGCCAATATCTTTTTACACTATACCTTCAATTCCCCTAAAGCAGCATGAAAACTACCAGCTATGCTTTTATCCAGAACTTCTGCAAGTCCTTGAAAGTAGTGTCTATCAGTTGGATTCACTAGCTTCTCATCTTCCACTATCCTTCTAATAAGAGCTTTCCTTGTCATCGGAACAAACTTGCGAGGAACATAGTACTCCTTTCTGACAGGCGTTGCTTGTTTTTCCTCACGGACATCAGCTGTTTTTGACGTCTTTGAACCAAATAGAGAGGGTATTTTGATAAAAGAAGATGAGGATGCACGAGCCATAACGTTTTGGTTTATCCATGACCATTTTGGTAGGGAAATAACACATTTTCTGCAAGAAGATAACATTTTTTAAGAGGCAAGAATGCTTGGGAGACAGAGTGCCCTCTGCAAAGAAGACTGGACATGATCTCCTACGTGCTATATGTAAAACGTCATATTGTGTCAGGTCCTCTTCCCGCCAAAAATGCATGGTTTTTCTAGGCCTGCGCGCATGTCGCGGTGTCACAGTGTCACATAACAGTGATATGTCTGGTGATATGTGTATCCCTACACATATCGCTACTGCAATGAGTGTGTCCCGGGTAGGGATACAATAAACGCTAGCTATGCTAAGTATCCGGTCTCATCCGTGACACAAGAATAATGAAAATGGCGGCTTAAGAGGGAACAAAGTCAAGGAGTCTAAGAGAAAATTTCGCAGATTGACTCTGTTCTCACTGACCTCTAGGGATGAAGGGGATGTTAATTTGACACAAATGGTACGCGAGAACGCGGGGGATACACATATCACTTAACACTCTCTTGCTGAAGAATATTTCTTCAGTCACCATCATCTAACACGACTCATAACAGTGACGTTAGACAGAAATCAAACCAAATGTGAAGGTGGAATATTGTGGCGCTCGCGGGGGGATACACATATCACTGAACCACTCGCCGTAGAGATATGTGTATATCCGGCCTCCATTCTTGTCTTGCTAAAGGAAATGTCATCACCTAACACAATTAGTAACACAACTCAGGTTTAGGACGGGGATCAAACAACATGCAAAGTTAGAATATTGTAGCGCTCGCAGTAGGAATACGCATCACTGAACCGTAGCAGAGATATGTGTAATGCCCCTCTATTTTTTGACTTTTCGAGTTATCTCTTGCTGAATGAAATTACGTCAGCCATACTTATTTAACACGACCAGTAAAATATTTTATCACGTTGGATGAGGAGTAGAAGGAGAGGAAAGAGAAGACATATTTACATCAACATTGCGGCCCACAAGGAATTAAGCTTATTTTTTTTGCGATTATTTTGTCTCAGATCGTTTCCCTTTTGTCAGGGGCACCCAACGAGAATATAGTTCAAAACCACACTGAACATAGCATTGTTGAACGTACTTTAGTATTTAAACGGTAGATAAAGGCGTATTTTTATCCCCTAAAAATTTTTCATCTGTTCGGATTTCCCAGCTGAATGTATAGTGATCCGAAAATCATAGGGATCAAAATTTACCTTTTCGAAAATTTCAGCCAGAAAAAAGGCTTCCGAAAATTCTAGGTGACCTTTTTAGGGTAAAAATCCGTTAAAAATGGGCAATTATACCACTTTTTTGATGTTCGAAAATCCTAGGAGAGGCAGGCAAGCAAGAAATTTTACAGGAAATGATCCGAAAATTCTAGATCTCAAATCAGTCTCAAGTCTTCCGAACAGATAATTTTCCGAAAATTGTCGTTGGGTGCCCCTGTTTTGTCGATATGTTGCTCATAATCTTGAATCATTTGTAGCTCCCTTGATGATGATTCGCAAAATTCACAAAAAAACAACAGAAATAAAATCGACACTTGTTTGGAGGAGCGGGGGGTAGGGGATACACATATCACTAGTGATATGTGTACGGGAATACACATATCACTGTGACACCGGCAGTCGCACTTTCTTTTTTTTTTTTTTTTTTTGCACTTTTTTTTTTTTTCTTATAAGAGGCTAATGGGGAGGTGTCGCTTGATGGGGTAGCATTTTCACGACCGGACTGACTATTATGGGGTCGCATTTTCAATAGAGTTACTACAATGGGGTCGCACATTTTTGAATTGTTTGGGGTAAGACAGTTTTTCATATTTATGGTTAGCAAACGTACCAAAATGTTTGTACTGCAGATGAAAAGTAAAGTGTTCTTCATTCAATCTAAAAAATGGATCATGCAATTCATAAAAATAGAAAGTGACTAAGTTGAGATCGCGAAAAGTACATATTTGCCCAAAAGTGACAAAGATTGGGCCTATAATTGGCCACAGAATAGACTATCCAACCTCGTCCCCAGGGTCTTTCCCTTTTTACCATCCTCACGCGTTGTATTGACTCGGTTCAATCTGATGGGCGGCCCAGGCAACCTCGTGCCCAGGGCTTTTCCCTCAAAAAATGGGTGGAGCCACCCATTTTTTAGAGGGAAAAGCCCTGGGGACGAGGTTGGCTGCCCAGGCTCTATGGTAGTTCGTTGGAATTGCATTTTACTGGCGAGAATCGGTTTGAGAACAAACAAAATACGCTCTAAACTTCCGCTTTTTGAAAAGATTCGTTTTCCATAACCTGAATGTTCCCGAACAATAACAACTTTGTAGATAAAAGGCTACACTGTTTGTATGCATAAGAACTTTTTAAGATCTTTTAAGATTGGGTTGTAAAGAATTCCTTGACTGAATTACCTTATCTACTCGAAAGAGCACCGCGGTGCTTAGTTTCGAATCATGTTGTCTCCCAAGGTGAGGGGTATAAGAAAAAGCATTGAGATTCATGAATAATAGGCCATTTGCACTAAGAGCCGTTAGGTGACATCGTTTTTATGAAAATGAAAGTTATATTATTTTGTCTTCAGAAAACCATTAGTGGGTCATATCTTAAACAAAATAATAGTGATTTAGCTTTTCAAACCGGTACCATTTTCTTAAAATGAATAAGTTCGTAGCTGGTCCCGTGATCAAAATGCGAGTCTTAAAACTATGAATTACTTCTTTCTGAACAGAAATTTTGCACTAATCTTCAAGGAGATTGTTGAAAAGATGATTTGGTAACGTTTTTAGCACATCTGAGCGTAACTATCAAGCGGTTAACAAGATACAAGCAAAAAGTAGTTTTAGCAGCCATTTTGGAGGGCAAGAGTATGCCCTCCAACATGGCGGCCAATACAAATCATACTACTTTGTTGAAAAATCAAGGTGCCATAAAATATTTCACTTAAATGCGTTTCCTCTCAAATTTCAGGTGTAAGATAATTTTTATGCGCTCCGTCAATTTTTGACATCAGCAAGATTCCAACTCAGATTGTTAAAAGGAAGCATTGGTCACGTGACCTCTTAGTGCAAGTGGGCTATTATTTTATTCCCCTCAGCTTAGGAGCCAAGAATGAATTTGGATGATTCGAATACTTTTCCAGTGACTATCGTGAGACAAGAGAGAATCACCATTCTCTCTTGCGTGAGACAAGTTTTAAAGGAAACATTTCACATATATAACACGATGATTACGATGAATAATATCGTTAGTGGTAAGGGTAGCTTCAGCGTGGCAGGGAATGGTCATTTAGTTGTTCATCTTTGCTAAGGTCGTCCAGTGCGAGTGTGGCACTGAGTAATTATAACGGTAGAGCCTTATCGCAAAGGAGATTCAAGAAAGTTTCAAATCATTTGATCCATGCATTTAGATTGCAAACTTGTTTCGAGAAGAGGCCTCCCAACACATTAAACACAGTAAATATTGAGAGGGCTTAGAATGATCTCATATCTGGCCTACTCAAACTCATAATCTCACATTTTATTGCGTACATCATTGCTTCTTTTCGCCTCCTTCATCTTCCAAGTGCTTCCTGTATGTAGTCTCATGCCATTTTAGCGCTAATATTTTAGTGGATACACCTTTTCTCTGCCTTGTCACGATCAATGCATGATTTTGACGTTGATACCCCAGTTTACCCTGTCGAATATGGTACCACTGAATTTCCGCATACCACGCCAAGAGCTTGGCATGTCCTAACACGCCCTCGAAGAAAGAACCATGAGTGTTGTCGCTATAAAGGCAGTAGGCGTAGATCCGAATAAACAAGTTATTCGGATGTAACTCTTAGTGCTGCAGTTCGGCAGCAAATACTGCATCAGGATCTTAAGAGCTGCGTTGTGCTCATGTGTTAGAGTTTCGATTTATAGCCAGAAATAATGGAACAGTGAGTCACGGTTTAAATCATCAACAGAGTACTGCCGCAGTGATTCTTGCAATCGCCCCGGCCAGGTGTTGCTCATGTGATTAAAAACTAAAGCTGTCAAAGTTCAAGTCTTTTAAAGCAAAACTGAATTACTGGACTAAAGAGAACTCCATTTTCTCCCAGGGGTGGGTTAATGGGGTGAGTACTCAGAAGTCGACCGGAACATTCCCACAGCGTAAAAAGGTTTGTTGAGTTCACCCCGGGTGTGTACTCTCCGTCATCCGAGCCAACAACAATCACAACAACCACAGCAACAACAACAACAACAACAACAACAACAACAACAACAACTACAAAACAGCCTAAAAGCAAAAATAAAAAACAACGTGAAAGAAAGGAGGAAAGGGACTGAAAGGTTCTCTGAATTTTTTCTATTGTTGAAAAAATATTACTTACAGCTCTACGTACGTGACAATGCGTTTTCAAACACTCTTTGATAGTGTACACTGATCAACGCACATCTTTGGAAATATCCGGAGAGGGAAACAGTTTTTGACAAGGGCGAGGCATAAAAGAATTTTTAGTGAAGTGACACAGATGCTTTCCCATAGAAAAACTGAGTTTTGTCACATAGAAATAAAAACTTGTATTTTTTTTCTTTCTTTGTTTCGTTCATTTTTTTTCTCTGGATTTCGACTTTATGTGTTGTTTTATTGTTTGATGCACGGTGCGGATTCACTCCGAGACACGTTTCTCTTTGTGCTACAACTATTTTAATTATTTGAGAATAATTGGCGGCTCGTTTGCATTTGTGTTGTAAAATAAATTTCTTCTTTTTCTTCGAGGCGATTCCATTGTTTCCTCTCGATAAGGTGATAAATACGTAATTTGGATTGGCCAGCCGGTTGGTTTTTCCAAACACCTGCCTTCTCTTAGCTGGAGAGACGCGCAACAAGTGCCATAAATGTCTAGGTCGCACTCCCAGCAAAAAGCCGTTATTCTGGGACGAAATAAAACGAATTGCTAGAACAATAAACAATTTTCCCCAGATAGAAGAAAAAAATTTTCGCCCACCCCATCGGCGTGAACGAAAGATATGCCCTGTGTGAAGGGAGGTGATTTTGCCATCACTTTCACTTCCGGTAGAGAAAGACCCAATATTGAGCATGCGTATATAATCACTCGCTCGCTTCAAAATAACGCAAAGGAAAGGAAGGCGTGTTTTGTGTGGAGGTTTGGGTTTTGTAGAGCGTAAAATTTCTTTCTTGCGATGGGTAGGTAATTCATTGTCGTCGGAGAAGCCAATACTTGCAATGCTTTCGCTATTGTAGGTGTCTTTCAGGTATTTTAGCTCGTAGACATTCGGTGGAGCGGAGAAATTTCATTGACTCGACAAAAGATTCGTTGTCACCGAATTCGGCTCCAAGAACCGCAGCGCCAAATGAGTGGTTTTTGCAATACTATCATTAATTTATAACGTTTAGCTTGTTCATACACTAATTTCAACTTGTTTTCTGCCTTCTCTTCTTTGCAAACCACTGTGTCTTTCTACAATGGCCTCGATCAAAAAATTGCCCTTCTCTCCGAAAGCGGTGAGTAGTAGACGATAGAATTATCCGGTCGATTTCTAAGCCGATTCTATTTGTGTTGAAGCATGTTTGAATTACTGCTTCGGTTTTCCTTTTATTATACAGAGTGCAAAAGGAATGGAAGGCTACGTGGGTTTTGCAAATCTTCCTAATCAAGTTTTTCGCAAGAGTGTCAAGAAAGGATTTGAATTCACTGTTATGGTTGTAGGTAAGGTGAAATTTATCGCGAGAACGGAAGCAAATTTGCAGAAGCAAAACAATTTGCTGTTCCATGCCTCCCTTTTTTAAAACGTCTGCATTGACTGTGTGATGCTGAATAAGAGTTTTAAGGTTTTTATGTTCGTTTAATTCTTCGGAAATCTGTAAAAAGTTACGATAACTCAAGGGCATTTCTTCTTTGTCAATGTTTATGTAAGCTTCTTTCTCACTTGATCCTAGCTGCAACGAAGGCGCTTTGATTTAAAACTAAATGGAATGCTATTTCCTTCTGTCAACAAAACATTTTCTGTTAATGAAGCCTAAGGAAGATGTTGGAGTTACGACTTTTCTAAAATACCTTTAGCATTTCCGTTCGTTCTTAAATCCATATCACTGAAAACCATCGATAGATTACGATACACGCCCGTCAATATAGCTACAGCCCGGCCTATCTGCTTGTTTTGATTTAAACAGGCTTCACATGCTGTACAAGAAGAAACAACAAACTGAAACAACACCAGTACATCTAGAATTTTTGTTAACAAGGGCGTACATTTATGAAGTTAGCGTGCGTGGGACAACTGTAAAATTTACAATTTACGTCTTCCGGAGTTTAGGTTAACCTCAAGTTATCAGTTTGACTCGAGAGGTGCGATTGACGAAAAGACAGCCCAAGCGGTGTAAATCGGTGTTGAAATCAATTTTTCAAGCAATGTTTGACGTTCTCTCATATTCGAGGGCCCATAAAGACGTCTCTTTGATTTAAGATAATTTCAATTTTATCAACGATTGTTTGCCAGTTTGGCTGTATTTTTCTTGATTTTAAGCTTCTCGTTTGTATAATAATACTCATCTTGTTAAAGATGACAGCATGTCTAACACATGGACATTTTTTCCATTGATGTTTGCGTGTGTTTCATGGCCTGACAATGGAGGTCACGAAACTTTAGATTTCATAGTTTCATTTGTAATCAGCTTTGTGTGTAGTCTGAGAACTGTCAAACTCTCTATCTTATTGTATTGCCAACAAGAAGCCGAAAAGATCGCTTTATTATGATATATACCTTTCAACAAACCAATCAAATAATTCAAAGAAAAGTTCCTTTGAAATTTACATCTGCTTTAAATGAAATGGATTACTTGTACCACAAAGGCGACATGTAGGTGCCAATTACCTGTGTTTAATGCTAAAAGAAGCAGATGGCCGAGCCAATCAACACTGTGGACTTGTAAGGAATTTGTCAGAGGCCACCAGTGTAGAATTATTGTGGTTATGTCCTCACTACCTGTCCAAATATTTTTCTTTATGAAGTGCTTAATTTCATTATAGAAGTACTTAAAACTTTTTGTTTTGAGTACTACCCTGTAGACCAAACAATTAGTGTACAATTTTGTAGGCCTATGTTAACATGGCCTTTCCTCTCAAGTTGTCACTTTGTTAGAGAGAAATAGCGCACAAATGTTTGTGCTGAATATTTAAATCCTCTTAATTGAAATAGGTCTTGAGTTTCTCAGCAGGGTTATTTTTATTGTTTGTATTTTTGATTGACTTTGATTGGGGATTTCCTCCTTTTGTTATGCCCATCTATTGTGATCCATAAGCTGCCTCCTCCACGGAGTTTTCCAATACTCAGTTGGGAGCACTAACCAAGAGTAAGCAAGAAAAAACATGCAAGAGCTGGAGACTAGGGAGAAGCGTGAGAAGGGGATGATGGAAACGAGTGCATCACTCCCTTCATCCCAACTTTCCTTAAGTAATAATTAACTCAATTATCCCCTAAAAAGTGATTGTGAGCGACTGGGTACGATGCAGAAGTATGTTTTGCCTTTAATTGAAATTAACATAACAAGCTACACCTACATATCACAAAAGTTTTGCATTAGTGACCTGTGCTTTGCCTTTGCCATTTGGTTCAATGCCGTCAACAAGGCAGGGAGCTGAGAAACCTTTCCAGAGAATTATAATATACCCGTTTTAAAATAAAGATTAAGATAACCTAGATTTTTTGGGTGGGGCACTTTCCCTTCAAAAGATTTAGAGATGCAGCTGGATCAGTACTAGCAGTCGCTCCTCTTTTAAACAATGTAAAGTCTTGTTTCTAAATCACTAAAATAATATTAGTTTGAATACCATGTTGAGTACCATCTCCATTCGCACATAAATGAGGCCTTGTAGGGTGGGTGGGGCGGGGGGGGCTGTTTGTCCCTAGTGTGAATTTTGAAACATGTTGTTTTGTGCATTGAGGAGAAAGCCATGTCGCTGTAGGTTTCATACATGATTGTACATGATTGTCCATCACCGTGCAGTTCCAACCCATGTTTGTGTCATTTGTCCCCATTGCTGCTGTCTTATGTTACTGTGTTTTTAGGATGAAATTTCAGTTGTCTCAGGCAATGCGCTGTGATGATAAGCCTTTTTATAAGTTATTTCTTGCTCTTTTTTCGTAGGCGAAAGTGGTTTGGGAAAGTCAACACTTCTTAACTCATTGTTCCTTACTGATATTTACACACCTGCCGGCTATCCAAGTGTTGAAGAACGACTTAACAAAACAGTTTCTGTAAGTAATATTATAATACATGCACACTTCTTACCAGTGACTTTTAAACTTTTAAAATCTTTGTAAATTTGCAATAAACGAGAGATAAATATTTTCAACGTGCTGTTATAAACTCCAGTATTAAATTTGAAAGGACTCTGATCTACATTCCAAAAATCAGAGAATTATTTGAAAAAGGAAAAAACAAAAGAAAGAAATAGGTGTCAGATGCCAAGTTGTTTAAACTGACTCAGAAATGAGATATTTATTTGGATATTGATTAAAACATTTATATTGGTTGTCTGCTACATGCACGCTTGCCAAAATATGATAAACCTTAATTCTTCATTATTTCCACAAAATAATATACTAATCACAGTAAAGAAGGATCAATTTTCAATTTCACCTCGGGGTAGTGAGGTTTTTGTGTTATCTCTACATTAATAATGAGCGTATCATAGCATGTAATATTTTCCACTGATACTGGTTTGAGTAGTTGTATAATAATATTAATGCACATAAAGTGACCTTATCATATGTTTGGCCTTGTATCTTTTCTGTGATACCTTAAGTTGCGTTTCAAAGAGTTTTATCACAATGTTGTTGCAGGTAAAGCCTTCAACAATCGAGATGAAAGAAGGAGGTGTTAGGTTAAGACTAACAGTTGTGGATACACCAGGGTTTGGAGATGCTGTTGACAATACGGACTGGTAAGCAAATGTTACTTGTAGTTATTTAAGCCTGGTTTTCACTAGCACATAAGCATAAGTGCAAGGACATACATGTACGCATGCGCAGAATGGCATATTTGACACAATTCTTGATACCAGCTCTCCTCAACCCATTGACAAACAAGATGGTGGACAAAGCATCCACCATATTGCTTAAGATACATTCGCATTCATGGGGTCTGGGTCAAAGTGAGCTATGATTGGTCCTCGGCCTTGTGCTTATGCTTGTGCTTATATCAACCCAGTTTTCACTAGTCAAAGCTATGATATTAACCACAAGCACAAGAAGAATGAACTTGTCCGTTTTTCTTGTGCTTATGCTTATGTCGACCCATTTTCCACTTTCTTACACATGTGCTTGTGCTTATGCTTATGCTCATGCGCTAGTGAAAACCAGGCTTTAGAGACTCTTTTAAAAAATCTTAGATTGAATTTGCAACTTCCATTTTTGGAAGTTTCAGGTGTAGTTTACAGTGCATATTATGGAAGAGCATGAATTTACAAATTGCATTTTAAATCAGTTATTTTATTCTGCTATAAATAAATAAATAATTATTATAATGATGATAACGACAACAACTCAATAACTCAGCAAAAAGGGGAAAAATAATATTACGTAGGGACAAGATAGGCAAAGTGTGTGAGAAAGAAGCAAAGAAATAATTCATTGTCTAAGGGTAAAACACCCATGAGTATCCCTTTAAAAGAATCCCGTAGGATTAAAGAACTAAAATCTCACTGTGGAATTTCATTACTTTTCAGCTGGAAACCTATAATAGAGTATATCGACAGTAAATTTGAGGAGTATTTGAATGCAGAGTCAAAAGTTTACAGAAAGCCATTCCCTGATGATAGAGTTCACTGCTGTTTGTATTTCATTGCTCCAACAGGGCACTGGTGAGTATGGGAAGTTCACTGAGGCCCTTATGTGATCTTGTCTCTCTTTTTAAGAAACACAAAACAACTTTTGCAAGCTTAGTACTTTCACTCCTATAATGGCCAGAGAAAAAATACCAACAAATAAATAAATAATTTTTTTTCTCAAGTTCTAAGAGATACCGTAAATTTCCGAAAATAAGCCCCTCCAAATGTAAGCCCCCCAAACTCATAACGCAAAAAACCCTCCGTTAAATCACCCCTCCAAATATAAGCCCCCCCTAAGGGGCTTGTACTTGGAAATTGCCCTCAAATACAAAGTGAAACAAAGAAAAACGGTAAATTTCTTTCCAAGAATAAAGCTAGTCCAATTGATTTGAGCCGCAAATTTCCTTCAGTACATAAGCCCCTCCGAATATAAGCCCCTCCAAAAAAAAGCCCGTTAAAAAGGGCCTTTAAGAAGTATAAGCAGCAGAGCTTATTTTCGAAATTTTATGGTATGTAAAAGTTCTGCCAAAGAGTTTTCATTTGAATGGTAACATCGCAGGATTTTATCTGCAGAATAAAAAGTTAGAACTATGTACAGTTGAACCTCTCTACAATGGCCACCTTGGGGACAAAAGAAAGTGACCATTGACAGTACATCAAGATTCACTTTGGGCCTATGCACTTTCCATAATATTTTGTATTCATGGTGTTAAGATTACTGTGGTTGTGGCAGAAACTTTTCATACTGCACATAAAGACCTACCATTCAGAAGAACATAAATGAATGTTGCCATCATTATGCCCACATACAGCTGTACATTTATTTCAGCTGCATACATGACACAAATGTAGAAATTTTAAAAAGATCATTTTTTTGTGTACTAGCTTATAAAATTTATTTTATTACTTTCAGCTTAAAGCCCTTGGATATAGAGTTTATGAAAAGACTTCACAACAAGGTATGGACTCTTCCCCATTTCACTTGATGATGTACATGTGGTGATATACAACTGTGTTGAAACTGAAAGAAGTTTTTAAAAGCATATTTGAAATGTTTAAGAAATCACCTGTTGGCTTTAAGGGAAAAAGGATGCTCTGCTGCTTTGACTCTTAATGATGTTCTACATTTCCTTTTTTCAGGTTAATATTGTTCCAGTCATAGCTAAAGCTGATACCTTGACACAAGAGGAATGCACAAAATTCAAGAAGCAGGTAGCTTTAGCTGGCAGACTTGTGCTCTGGAGAAATTTCAATTTAGAGCTTATTAAATTACAGACTGATCACTTTACCTGTTTAGTCAACTTTCACTTAACAGACGCCGCTATGAACTTACTTTTTTTAGTTGACTCTCTGTTAGAAAGACATCTTTCTATACTGCCAGTCACAAAGGTGTCTGTCTTAGAGAGAGTCAATAGTACATTTACATAATGGGACTTTATGGGCTCTAGCGGAGCCTTGGAGCCTTTTGCCTTGGAGCAGCAAGGAAATCCTTTTTTTTTCACACACTCTCAGGGTTCGTCCAGAGTCTTGAATTCTTGAAAAAGTCCTGAAATTTGCCCAGCAATTTTCCAGACGTGCAAAAAGTCTGGAAAAAATTTAAGTTAATGGTAAAAAGTCTTGAGTTTTTTCTTTCAAAGCTACAACAAAATTAATGCTTTACATGATAAGTGATTTTTTTTTGTTTGGTCAAATCTCATTCCATCTCGTCCATATGTTTGCAGCAGACCATGAAAAAAGCTTTGTTCCTTTGTTCTTTTACATGTAGGTCTCTGTTGATCACCTATTTTTGATAACCTTTTATCTGGAAAAAGAAATTATTGGTTTGGAAAAAAGTCTGGAAAAAGTGTTGAATTTTGGATCCAAAAAAATGTACGAACCCTGCTCTCTGCAATGGGCACCCTTCATTTCATAGGATTAGCGCCTCTGGATTCCATATAGTAAATTTTTCTTATCTAAAGCACAGCCTTCCATAAACAGTTGAAGGATAGCATTTTGCTAGTAAGATCGGGTAAGGGTTTTTTCAATTTCTAAAATGTTTTTCATTTTGATTTAGCTATCATAGACTCAAAGTTTTTGCCCACTGTTAAGGATAATAGTGATAATTGCTGGTCACTGTTATTTTCATGAAGTCATTCAGTCCCCTAAATATTAAATCTGTATAAACTTAACCCGAGTTTGATTATTTTTCAGATATTGAAAGAAATAGAAGAAAATGACATAGGAATATACAGATTTCCTGACCTGGGTGGGGAAGATGATGAAGATGTTGCTGCTGTTAGCATGAAGGTTTGAAAAAAATAACGCTATGGAGTCAATGCCTGTTAGAAGGCCATTTCCGAGTTGCCTTAAGTCTGTGTTTCAAAGCGAGGCTAAGCGCAAAGCTATTGATATGAAAATGAATTTTTATTCTCATGTAAATAAAACTCATTTTCATAAGAAAGGTTTTGCACTTAGCCTTGCTTTGAAAGTGAGAGTTTTAGGAACTTGGAAATGGCCTTATATGTTTATCTAAATAGTGAGACTTCAAGAGTTGATGGGGTAGTAGGGCTGTCACTAAGGGCTTGGGGCTGATGTTTTCTCCTGGCTGCTATGAGGGTGACCCTGGCTACTTTCACTTTTTGCATATACCAGGCACCTTGAAATCTTAGCCCTGGGGTGGGGTTAAACCCATCAACAATAGATGGGTGGGGGGAAGGTGCCTGAAGAAGTGGAAGGGGGCCACAAGCAATCTTAGAAGGTAACCATGACAACCCTGAAAGCGGCACCCACCAGGCACTGTCACGCTGAGAACGTCAGTGGAGAGACACGCAGTTACTTACCAAAACAGCATCCAGAGAGGAGGGAGGGTTGGGGGCAAAAAACATCTATAAGTACTGCACCCTGAAGCAACGCAAGCAAAATGATTGACTCCTGCGAAAGCACTGTAAAATCACTAAGGCCCTGCTAAACCCCGAGACCCACCCACATACGATTAGTGAAGAAGACCGCTGGCCAGCATTGTCTCGGGTTTAACCTCACCTAAAGCACATTTAGCCAACTTAATCATCCATGGCAGTATAATTTCAAGGAGGAAACAAAAGTATATATTACATGTATAAATAAATAAACAGATCTATTGGTTTTGTTTTTGTTGTTGTTGTGGTTGCCCCATTGTAGATAATGTGTCAATACTCGAGGGAGTACATGCGGGTAGTTTCTTTTAAGTTTTTAAATTTTTCATGTTCATTCTTGCATACACTCTTTATTGACAAAAGGACAGGATCGATCTTTCTCATCATAGTTCATGTCTCTTTAAATACTGTTCACAGGACAGAATACCATTTGCTGTGGTGGGCAGTAATACAGTTTTGGAGGTCAATGGCAAAAGAGTGCGAGCCAGAGTATACCCATGGGGTGTGGCTGAAGGTACTGTTCAACTTAACAAATAGGCCAATTTATGAGTTCCAAAAACCCTCACTTTCAAAATGAGGCCAAGGGCACAACCTTTCTTGTAAAAATGAGTTTTATTTGCGTGTGAATGAAAAATCATTTCCATATCAAAGGCTATGCACTGAACCTCATTTGTTTTGATACAGAGGCCTGGTGAACGTGGAAATCGTCTATTGTCAGCAATTTTCCATATCAGATTTATTCTTTTTACTATCATAAATTGACTTATTTAACTCAATTGATAGAACCATTTTTTAATTTTTAAAAATTAGTAACGTCTTAGTGATATTGACACTCTGTTTTTCCCATTTAGTTGAGAATGTAGATCACTGCGATTTCGTTGCTTTAAGAAATATGCTAATAAGGTAAGTTTATTGTGATGTTTTTTTTCTGTTTTTAGCCTGTGTACAGCCATTCCCTCCCCTCAAATGTTTGAGGAAGGAAATGGCTACTTTGTTTAATTTAACTTAGTATAACAGTTATTTTTTTGGCATTGCATTGCCCAATGGATTAACATGTTCATAGCTTCTCTGTAGTAATTATCTTGATGCTCTCAAAGTATTTGAGAATATGTTACTGTCATGGAGCAACGTGCATGAATTATGCTGCACATTATCAATTCTTTTGCTGATTAGCCTGTTTGAGAAGCAGTCGAAATGGAAGGGTCCCTTTGGGCTCTCATAGGCCCAATTATACTCTGTCACTTTCCTTTTGATATTCTCCTACGCACCCATTTTTTGTGTTGTCACGCGACGCTCTTCCCCAGAAGTCTTGTGGCATCACAAAGAACAGCTGGAGAGGAGACTACCCTTCTGTGTGACACCTAATAGTTCATTTGTGACATGATACAGGGGTTGTTTGCTATTCACAAAAATTTTCCGAAAAATCCTGGTGGTTGGAAAGTAAGTGAAACACAATTTTTTGGGTTGTAGGGTGAAATGTCATACATCTACGTGTACGTCTCCACCCCCTAAACCACGGGGGCGTGGGGGAGAGGGACCCCACGGGTTATGGGGTGAAGATGTGTGACATTTCAAACTATGTGGGTCTCTCCCGTGGAAAATTTCCGGGAGCAATGGAACATCTGAAAAGCTTCTCCTGTTTTTCCGGACGGAAAGGTCTTAACGGAAGTTCGTGTTGCATTTCTTCAAAGCCCGGCCATCTGTGGTACCAGTTTCAGGCTTTCGAAGCCATTTCCTTGTGAATGGAACTGATTTGTACAAATGGTAAATGCGATTCCTGGGCTAAATTTACCAGTCCTGAATTTTGCTTACCCAAACCGTGAACCGACCGGTTTGCTTATGCAAATGATAAACAACCAGAGAACATTATGAAAATAAAAGGCATACCAAAGGCTTTGGCTTTGGAACAGTTTTGTGATGGCATGACACATGTATGTTTTGTTTGCTGATGGTTTTTTCCTGAATTTAAAGTGACATTAAGCATTTAAAAAGGGCAAAGTCTCTCTAACGGGAAATAGCATGCCTTTGGTTTCATTTTACCATTTGTTAGAAAATTAAAGCACTGCACTACATTGTATTTCTTCTCATTGTATTGTTTCGCCTTGTAGAACGCACATGCAGGATTTGAAGGATGTTACCAATGACACTCATTATGAAAATTACCGCTGTGAAAAATTGGCCGCTATGACCGTGGGCTCCCCAACGAATCAACCAAATTCAAAGTAAGTTTGAGTTTTAAGAATTAAAACGAGAAGGAAACTGGACAGAATAAACTTCCGCAAAGACTTCTGGGACTCTTACTTGGGACAAGGGAAAAAATTGACCAATAGCTGACCAGTGCGCCCCCAGTAGCGATCCCAGAAGCAACTGCGGGATGTATTTTGGCTCCAATTCCCCTCTCATTTCTAAAGTGGCGAATGAATAAAAGGAGAACTAACTCGAAGAAAGACGAAGGCTGGTAATACGCAGCCCGTTGAAACCTCTTTGACGAAACTTTAGCAACAAGCGTTAAAACAAGTGGAAAAGCGTTTGCTATCCGGCGTCAACTACCCTTTAGTTAAGAACGATGTTGTATGACTGGTTTAGTTATAATTAAATTTCGACCCTTCTGGCCATAGCTCAGTAGTTAGAGCGTCCGAACTAGAGCTAGAGGGTCGTGAGTACGATTCTCACCTGGAGCTCGGAATTTTTTCGAGCTTTATGGTCTTAGAATTCTTCTTCTTTTTCCAAATAATTGAGTTATTGACTCAGTCGGCTCGCTGGGAAGATAAAATCCGAGAACAGTACTCCTAAATCGGAGTCGAACCTAGCCTGCGAAAACAGCCGTTTCTCCTCGCTCCTCGCCGCAGGGAACGTTTCGCGCTAAGTCGAACCTATAACCTTCTGGTTATCAGTCTAGGTGCTCTACCACTGATCTACAGGAGACTCACATTCCTTTCATTGCGCATAAGCACACATCGACATTCTAGTCTTAGCAGCATCCAGGATAGTCTCCCACGAAGACGTTCTTAGGGGTTCGTCACGCGTTCCTGCCCGTGACAGGAACACGTGACGAACTCCTAAGAACAGAGCAATATACAGGATGTTTGTCACATGAACATAGTCTTGTCAAGAGGCCTTAGTTGCCTCGAGTCTCCTGTAGCGTAGTGTTACAGAGCATCTGGTTGACTCGGTTACAACCAGAAAGTCAGAGGTTCGACTCCTGTTGGGAGTTTTTTCGAGCCGCCTCTGTGACAGACTAAAATCTTTGGATGAATTTAGGTTTCTGGGAAACTGCCCACCTACCCCTCCCCTAAGCCAACATTATCCCTTACTTCTCTTTAGGGCAAAATGGTGGCTTGGGGAAAGGGTAGCCTAAATTGATCTACATCTTTCTCATGTATTCAAATTCACCATCGCATTTCTTTCATCACCCTTCAGTTTTCCAACGTTTAACGGTTTATGATAAATGTCAGTAAAGGTTTTACCGAGGAGGATCACACCTGCCGTGTTCATCCGAGATACAGCTTTTGAGGTTTAGCCTCCAATCAGTAAGGAAAAAGGCTCGTCGTACAGCAGTCATGCCTTATAGTGCTATAACAGCTCAGTATACTCTACCTTGCTTTTCTTTTGCAGTGTTTCATTTAGTAGAAGTCCACTCGAGCAGCTGGAAGCCGAGAAAGAAGAGCGAGAATTGAAACTGAAAAAGATGCAGCAAGAGATGGAACAAGTATTTGAAATGAAAGTCAAGGAAAAGAAGAAGAAGCTTAAAGATTCCGAAACAGAGGTGAGGGTGGTAGGCTGAGCTCGTTTTTGCCCTAAAAAGCCCGAAATCAAAATTAAAAATTTAGTTCTCCTTCGTTGGCTCATTTCATTTCCCATGCAAATAGTAGGGAGAAGTTGTTGAAGTATCAACAAAATTCATCTGGTGCGATCATACCCGTTATTTTCATGACGTCTTTCTTTTATTCACTGTCGATATGCGAAAGAGGGAGAAAGGTAAGACAATGGAGAGAGAAAGGAGAGAGAAAGGAGGTTTTACACTCTTACACCACTTTGAGCGTGCAAATGGCAAACGCTAATTAGGTCAGCAGAATGTTAACACAAGGTATTTAAAAAAACTAAATTCGACGCCGTTTCCGGGCCGTTTTTCGGCCGTGATTTGAGCTCAGAAATTTTGCTCTGTGGTAACAGACAATTGCTGCAAATTCTCAACGAATTTGCTCTACTCGCGCACATGGGGAATTTTAAAACGATTTTTATAAAACAAATACATGGCTTGCCGGTGTAGAATATAATAACTTTACATTGACGCGTAGTACGCGAAAGTTAGAAATCACTGTTGACCTCTATTAAAAAACGTGAGCAGGTGAGTTTTGACCGACATTTGATCTTTCGCTACACGAGACTTGGTATTTATCAGCTCTATTTTAACGGACACCTCGCTAAAACGGACACCTAGAGTTGGCCCCTTCCTTTCTTCACTCCTTTTGGTTGACTCGGACATCGCTCGACGGACACATGGTGCTGCTCCCAAAGGTGTCCGTCTTTCTAATTGGGAGTTTACTACTATTTTCTTTTTATTAGTAATAGCAACCTAACCTGGAGGTTAGTATTGCGGGCTTAGATACGTTTTATTTTTTATAGAAAAGAGAATAAAGGATAAAGAAAAAGGTAGTATTTTCTCTTCTGTCGGCCCGGGCACAGGGCTGCAAGGTACTGATTTTTATTGCATGTCAACGGGGAAGAATTATTTCTGCGCGCATTTGTTGACACGCCAATAGTTATTTCTCCGTGCTTTTTCTATAGTACTTATCGCGTGACGGAATTCGAAATATTTCACTTTGACTCGCATATGTATCAACCGAAATTGTGACTTTTAAGCAAACTGTTTTTTTGTTTTTTGTGTTTTTTTGTATAAACCTTATATTTTTATTGTCTGTTGCTATAAGGCCTGTTTGTATTGCCTTTTCAGACTCTGTCAAATTTCTAGAAATATCCTATTGGTATATTTATACGCCTTAGAAGCAGAAAATATCGTTTTAAAAATAGATTTTCCGCTTTCTTTAGATTGCGTCATAAGTCCTTGAAAATTTTTTTTTTTTCTAGTTGGTTCATTCCGTTAATACGCCTTTTTAGCACGTACGACGTACAATACAAAGCCAGATGAAAAGAAACTTGTGTCCGATAGCCCGGGGCTATAGTGAATTCTGGTATCGGGCTAGTGAGTTTTGTTCTTAACTTGTCCGACGGGCAAGTGAAGTTTTTTGTGAAATTGAAATTACAGAGGAACTGTGAAATCAATTCTGCTCATCAAAAAATTTGTGGGGCCGGTTGGAATGAAGTTTGGGTTAATAAATGCTAGCTTCAGCTCGCCCGAATGGCAAGCTGTAAAACTTGCTTTTTTTGCACCCTGACCAGGCGGTCCTTCTGTCATATGAATGCGCTTGAGACTGTCAGTCATACTGCTCGACATTTGATTTGAGCCAACAAAAGCCCCCCTGGATTGTTGTGGATGCTGTTTAGGTGCAGCAGTTGATTTTAGTGCCGGGAGTAAATAACTGTGTCTTCTTGTCCTGCCGTTTTATTTCGCTGTCTCGTTGATACAAACCTCGACTATGGCAAAGCAGTGGTCGCATGGATTGTTTGGGTGCTTTGATGACTGTGGTACATGCATTGTAACCCTTTTCTGTCCTTATTACACTGCCGGAAAGAATGCCGAAGCTGTTGGCGCAGAATGCTATGTCTTATGCGGTCTGGCTACCTGTATCCCGCCCGCAAACGTATTCTTTATGGCCCAGATCCGATCCAAGATTCGTGAGCAGAACAGAATCGAGGGTACGTTCTTGAACGATTTCTTGGCAACTTGCTGCTGTCCTTTATGTATGCTGGTTCAGTCCTCGCAAGAAGTCAAGGAAAGTCGTACAGTTGTGTACTCCGCGTGCAGACGCCCTTCTAATATCCTGGATAAGTCGAAATCTGTCAGCCTTCAGTCTTTACTGAATTTTGTGATGCAATGCCCATTTGTTCCAAGCATTCTGTGAGTCCGGACTTTTATTTGCAGAGGCCATCACTTTCGAACAGATATTTTGCACAACTGTTTTTATATATATATATATGTTTTTACAGCATTTCTTTACCTCTTTTAATCATAACTTAATTTGAGTTTTTTAATCGTGCAGTAAGTCCTCACAATGTCTTTCCACTGAAGTTCCTTTAGTTACTACAACACAGTCTTGGGACGACAGAAAAGACTCACTTCTGCCCAGTATTTGAATCCTCTGTACACAAGAAAGAAGAAAAAAGATATTCATTTTAATATAACACAATATAAACTGTATCTAAGGTTTCACAGTTTAATTCCTTTGCTTTGTAAACGAGATAAATAATAATAATACAAGGTTTCTTTTCGGTCAGGCATTCGTTAACATTTAATCAATCTCCCGATCTTTTGTTGGGAAGTAAAATTCCTATTAGACCATTCTTACACATTTCAGTGATCGTTGAAAAGCTTTTTGCATTTTTTAAGTCGCTGTGATCCTTGAGGTTTATTTTCAGCTATCCTAGCGATCAAACGGAAACCTGGCGAAACAAGGATTTCAAAAGATTTTTAAGTTATTATATTAAATTCGTTTGGGTATAATGACACTGTTACACTTAAAAAAATTAAGAACACCTTGCTTGTTAAAGAAGAAAACAATATGCCTGGAATGTTACTAGAATTACATGCGCGACACGCAATCGCCTGAAAACAAGCGAAGTTAAACGGACTTACATCGAATTAACTTGGAATTGTCTGTAGATTATATTATTGCCGCCATTTCATTACATTTGCGCATTTTTACCCAATACGTGTCGGACTCAGAAGCCCTGTAAAAGAATTATTGATACCGATGTTCTATTGTAACAGATCAAAGCTTCGACATGGTTAAATAAACAACCTGGAATCACATCGCAACCTCTGGTTTAATACTACATCGCTCTTGCCCATTGCTCTGTTTTTCAGTCTAAAAGTTACGCTTTACTTTGAATAATTAGTCACTTCAGTCGTGTAATAGATAAACTGGGGTGTTTGTATAAAATATGCATATTAAAGGAACAGTATCCCGTTACTGCGCGTGCACCAAACTTTGATTTTTGGACAGGATGTCGCGAAATCAAAAGATGCGAAGAGGGTAAGAAAACCTTGAAAAATCCGTTTGCATCGCGCTTGACCGGGTTCAATACGACACTAAAACTTCTCAGGATTACAGATCAATGATATATTGTTCCTGTTAAGTTTCGATTTGGGCAAAATCTGGATTTTTTGGCGTTACTTTTATTGCCGTTGGCCGAAGGCCCAAAAGATTGGAAGCACTTTGATGCCGATTGAAGGCTTACTTCTTCTGCTAGCTTCTATACAAGCTCAGATAATTGTGAAAGGAATACGCAGAAATGAAACAGCAACAATAAAGACTGTAAGAAAGAAACCATTGAGACATTGATGTGACTGAGGAGATCTTGTGGAGGGGAGCTTCGTGAAGCAGAATGTTTTGCAACGAAGCGTTAGTAAACTTTCTTAAATGAATCTCCCTAACGGCCGACAACATCAAACAAACAGGCGCTACATGTTTATAAAAACTAGTGCCATGAAGTCATAATATAATTTTTGACTAACCTTTCTGATGATTCATAGCGTTGAGATTGCATTTTTATTTATGTCTTTCAAACGCTTGAGGCTAGAACGCGAGCAAATCAGGCAGATATTACTAGACTTGGAACAACTGACCTCTGACACGAGTTTCAAATTAGAAAATATGTTTTTAAAGCGAGCGGAACGAGATTTTCGGGTCGCGAGGCGGCCCAGCTAGCGATAAAATCGCGATAAGTCTTCGAACCGCGAGCCAAATTTTTATATAAGACGAAAGACTTCTTTGAAAGTCTAAAATGTTACTTGAGAATATAAACAACAAATCTCTGTCGGCGGTGCGGTCCGGAAGGAAATCTTGTCGAGTCAATATGACAGTTCTATTGTCTTTTGAAGAAAAAACAGACGACGCTCGCGCGTGCGCATAATCGGGACACTGCCCTTTAAAGCTTTGTCTTTAATTTCCCTTGGGACGACTGCAATACCCAGAAGAAACAACGTTATACAGTCGACTCCCGATAGTTCGAACCTTCAAGGGATATAGAAAAAAGTTCGAGTTATCGGGAGTTCGAGTTATCGAGGGTAAAATTATATAGAAAACTATCTGAAGAGAAATGTAAGTTACTTCGAGTTAGCGAGAAGTGCGAGTTATATAGAGGGTTCGAGTTACCGAGATTCGACTGTACAAATTTTTGCGGGGCAAACAAGTCGTGTTATGGGAGATGTGCAAATGGCGAATGTGTTTGTTCCAAAACCATGTGCACCCGATCATGCGTGAAAGCCAACTGCCGGTTTGCCTATGACCAGGTTCTATAGTTGGCCGAAAAATGAAAGGAAAAAAAGGCGTGAAACAGCGAAAATTAAAAAAAAAATTCGGCGAGCGAAGCGAACCATGTTGTAGACTGGGAAGGTCTAAATTATTTATTTCTTTGAACAATAGTGTAGATTTAGCATTATTTAACGTTCGCAGATCTCAGTGTTCAGATGGTGGAGTGCGGCGCGAAGTAAGATAAAGGGAAAAATGTGAGGAGGAAGAGAGGAGGGAGCGCCTGTGAGATTAGTTTTCAAAGCGCTAAAGGCTGCATTCCGCCTACTTTGACGGCTAGTAAGCTGAATCCAAATTTAAGACCGGAAAGTAATAGTTTTTGGTCTTTAAAGGTGTCAATCAAGCAACGGGTACAGACCGCGATGATTACTGATTTGTTTTTTTAAAAAAATAACTATCTATTCAGAAAAAAATCATTTAAATTTGTTTCCTGCAAACAAGCATAATCCTTTAACTCTAAAAATGTAAGAACTGGCGAGCAACACTCGCTCAGATCATATTATAGACTGGCCGCTGTCGGTTTTCTTTGTTACGTTGTGGCTATATGCCTAGCCTGTTTCAGGCGTACATATCGTGGAGATGACGCGGAGAGATGCGAGCAGAAGAAAAAAACCGCGAGGGGGTGGGGTGGGGGGTGAAAGCGAAGGAACTGCGTCGACTTCTCTCTATGCCCAAGAAACCACAACCCCTTAGCTACAAAGCCACTGGAGTGTTCCTGGTCGCTTGGTAATTCTAACTTTAGATAGCGTACTTTCAAGAGGTTAGAGAAAGGGATTTCGTAGCAATTCTATACGAAATTTACAGCCGCCCTTCCCGGTTACCGTTTCTGTGATAATTGAAATGCTGTTTGAATCTGTTTGTCTGTGAACTCTTTCACGCGTGGCTTTGGAAGACGTGCGTTAAGCGAATAGAGATCTCAAAATTCCATATAACAGAGCACTTCCCGAAACTGGCTTATTTGTACCTTTTCCGTCGCTCTCACCCCCTACCCCACCCCTCGTGCTTTTTTTGCTCACATTTCTTCTCGCTGTCCCCACGATCTGAACGCCTGGAACAGGCTATATTTCTTAAACGAAGTCTCTTACTTTTAACGGTCGCCTGTAACGCGACACCGGCGCGTCCAGCACAAACGCAACCTCGTAAGGTGAGTTGGGCGACCAGTGCGTATTGATTGAGACTGTAAGAGGAAATAACAGAAAGCACTGGTTGATTCTTTCCCGAGAATCTCAATGTTTCCTGAGGAATATTCTCTCCTTTAAGAAGAAACCATTTAAATGATGCTTCGAATATTTCTTGAGTGCCTTAAAAATGCCAACGACCGTTTATGAAAGGAAATTTGCTGCAGTAAAATCATATTGACTCCATACTTATTTTGTTTATTTTCATCAACAGCTTGCCAAGAAAAACGAACAAATGTGGAAACAGCTAGATCAACAAAACAAAGAGTTAGAGGAGAAACGAAAACAGTTTGAGCGAGAAAAAGCGCAATACGAAGAAGAGCAGAAAAACAGTGGACAGAAAGGCCTCGAACGATCAGATTCGTCGAGTAAATCACTCAAGTAGGTGTTATTAATAACTGAAACAAAACACGCGTTACAACCGCCGCTTTAGAAACGAGAAGGTAACAGGGACCAGTCGGCTTTTGCAAAGAATCCTGGAATCGTTACCAGGGACGTGCTGGTCAGAGTTTAAGCAGCCACGTTTTTAAGCGACACACGTCGACCGGAAGTAGACTTTTTGTACTCTTGAGCCTTAATTTGAAACAATTTTTGGGCAAATCGTCTCCGTAAGAGTAAAGACATTTGGCCATACAGATTTAGTAGCGTCAAGGCATTTAAAAAGAGAAAAAGGCTCACTTTCGGTTGACGTGCGTCGCTCAAAAACGTGGCAGCTTAAACTCCCTAATTGTTTCTCCCTTTCCCTAGTAACAGTCCCAGAAGTCTTTACGAAAGTTAACTCGGCCCAGTTTCCTTCTCGTTTCTAAAGTGCCGAATACACGTCGAATTCAAGAATCAAGAATTTGGGGGAGGCGGGGTGGGGATGCGTAATTTACTTAAATACTTTATCTCTGCAAGGAGAGTGAATACAGAAAGTCAGTTGGTTGATCATCCTCCCTCCCCTTCGTTCGAACAGCAATCTTTGTCTGCTTTTTAATTCAACGATTTCTTTTTTCAAGGTGGTTTCCTTTTTCTGTCCTGCTTGTTCTCCCAGACATCTTCTGCTAGCTAATTTGTGAAATAAAACTAAACTTTTAACTAACAGTCGTAAAATTAAATTGTTATTTATGTTTTCTATTAAAAACTAATTAATCTTTTAAAACTTCCTTCCTCTTGGGAAGTGAAAAAATCTTTTCCATTAAATTAATTACATTTTCCTAATCAAAACTATCAGTCCCCTTAATCTATTAGAACTGTTTTGAGACTGAGTATCTTAAGACTAATATCAACACCAAAGTTATTTTCCGGCCAATCATAATACGAGTACACAACCACGTCAACCAATCAGATGCTGAAGCTGTGGTGTTACTGTCGTACCCCGCGAAGCAAGTGTTTCCGTGCAAGCGCGTTGAAAAACAAAAACAACAACAACAACAAAGCGGAAACAGTTGCTACACAAGCTATTGCTGTCGCAAAGGGCGGGAAACATCTGCGGCAGGACAAGACTGTCTTTGATTTTCCTCCGATTGGTTGAGAAAGTGGCGGGGGAGTTTAAGGCCAATCAAGGAATAACTTTTGATGCTCCGCTTAAAACCGCTCTATAAAAGTAGAAACGGTTAACACTGAAATAATGCAAGGTTTTTATATGCTTACTTAAAGTTTAACCCTTACGCAAAGGTGTTACAGTAACATTAATTTAAGCATAATAATTATTACTGCAGCTAAAAGCTACTGTTCCTATCTGAGGTTGCAAACTTGAACACTTGTGCATTTATAATATAAATGTGTTTAGTACACCTTCCTCTTATGTGTTTGTTTGGCGCGAAACTCGCTTGTGAAAGATTTCATGTCAGGACTGACCAAGTTTTGGGCATCACTTCAAACAAAATGCAAGGCTTATTGTTTTACAACACGGAAGTCCGTTGTTGCTGTCTGTTTGTTTGTTCTTACTATTTTCTTTTTTCCCATAGTGGCTAAACTGAGATACATTTGTTTTAGATGCAAAACTAGTTTTCGTACAAGGATCAAACGTTATTTTCAATTTGATTTGATGACATATTCTTGGGCCCTTTCTCGAAAGTCCCGCTAACTTTTTGGGCCCGGAAACAATTATTAAAATCCAAATCTAGAGAACAAAAATTCGGGTACTAGCCAACAAACCAGTCCACTGATTTTATTTTGTTAACTGATAGTTTTATCATGTTATCGGCAAAAGCGTTTGGAACCTCGACCTTGAATGTAAACAACAACAGCTTTCCGGGCTCCGTAATTACTGATCGGGACTTTCGAGAAACAGGCGCGAGGAAGCAAAATTTACGTCCAAAACTTTTTCTAGTTTGGGCAGCCCTTAACTTTCCTTTATATGTCTGGCCAGTAAAAATTCTCAATCAGCCTTGTCTCTCGTATACGTGTTTGATGGTCAACGATTAGGTCAACGGTTTTCTTACCGTATCGTAGAACACGTGCAAGACCACTTGCTTGCGGCAATGTTAACTGAGAATTACATCTGATTGTTTCAGTGAGTTGTTGCATGTCTTCTATTAACATGCTCAGTCTCCGGTTTCGGTCAGGCATTGCGTTGCCGCGAGTGACGTCGGCCGCGGCCGACACCGAAGTATCCAGCCGTACGCGAGAAAAAAACCTCTGGTGCTTAGGGTAGAAACACTTGGAAAGTCGTGAAATTTAAGAACTTGATTTTCCAGGCATGGAAATTTAAAAATGAAAATGTGAAAATGTCGAAAGTGAACGCTTAACTCAAACTCATGGAAAACTGGAAAAATTTTTGGAAAAAGTCGTGGAAAGTCGTGAAATTTGGAGAACGTAAAAGATTACGAACCCCTTACAACTAGCTCAGTCTCAGCATTTCTCCGCAATCTCTATTTCAGTGATTATTTAGCAAACAAATCAAAACAACTTCCGTAAAGATAGTGTCGTTTTTAAGCTTTCGTCTCAAAACGATTCGGATTTTGAAATGGTCACGTTCTTTGCTAGCCTGCGTCGTAGACGTAATTTAACCTCAGTTAGTAACGTCTGCGAAACAGCGCTGATATCCTAGTTCTGGGCCCCCCAACGGACTCAACGAATAGATCATGTCACGGTTTTCGACGCCATCTTGACGAAAAGGTACGTGTGAGAGATTACTGACATAGTTTGTATGAAAATCCAATGTCGAATAATTTCCGTAAAACGGCTGTTCTGAAAAAGATATATGAATTGTAAACTAAAGCTACAAAGCAAAGGATTGTACTAAAAAAATTTTGGAGCGTACCTGTGCTTAAATTTCTCCAATTTGCTTTAGATTTTCCATATATTTGTCGGCAATTTTTCCCGGGACTATCTTACAGACGAATGTATAGAAAAGTTAAAAAAAAGTGGTTGTAGGTCTTCTAGCGCATGTAACGCCCTCAATTTTTTTCAGTAGAATCCTTCGGAGAGAAGCTTCCGTTTACAATTCATATTTTTTTCAGAACAGCCGTTCTACGGAAATTATTCGACATTAGATTCTCATACAAACACTGTAATTTCTCACGCGTTTGCCTACTCGTCGAGATCGCGTCGAAAACCGTGACAAGGTCTATTACCCGAAGAGCGTTTCAATTTTCGGTTCATCTTGATTGGCAAATCTACGATGCCATTTTAAACAGGCCAATCATAGCGCGTACTCAAATCCTGGTATACAGGTGGGAGCCCAGAACAAGGATTTCGGCGCTGTTTTGCAGACGGACTCAACCAGAGTTTAGTTTCTTCTGTGGCGCAGGCTAGTTGTTTACGAGAGCGAGCGCGCTTGGAAATAACTTTCTGGTTATTTGTTTTAACAGACTGTTCCGAGGCGTATTGTGTGGTTTCCACAAAGCCAAACCTGGTGTTAAACTAAGCGAACAAGGTATTGACCTTTTAACATTCTAAACTGAAACATGAACCTCCTAAACAATCAATACTTGCCAGAAAGCCAGTTAACAAACTTCTTTAAGGTCGCCCTAGGTGGATCTTTCCCAGAATCGCTGCTTACTTTTTCCACAAAAGGGCTTTCCAACAGTGAGTCATGCCCAAGAGATCATCTAACGGGCTAAGGGGAAATCTTAAAACCACCTTATAAAGCTCCGGGCTTTTATAAAAACATAGTTCGCTTTGTAAAAATCATGCTAACGGTTCCAAGAATTTTAAAAGTCGTAAACAGTGTAACAAGAAATACTTTGCAGGGGGAATGATTTGCAACAGCGCAAGGTTAAACTAAATACAAAAGAACTAAACTTGCATGGAAGAACAAAGCAGGACCAGTGAAGTAAATTCTGAGAATAAATGGAAAGTTAGTTTTTATTAAAAATAAAGAGAATCAAAACTTGTTTTAAAAAAAAAACATTTTCCAGGTACGTTCATGGATTAAAAAGTATTAATAATATTAATATTATAATTATCATCATAGTTATTATTAGTTAAATGAGCTAAAACTATGACAATGAGAATTATATTAAAAGCGATAAGCTGAAAAAATGAGTTAAGACCTCAAGTTGTGATAACATTTTTTAAATGCTCTCAAATCAAGTTTTTTTTAATTCTCTCTGAGGAAGCTAAAGTAAGATGTCTGGGGTGACTGATCGCTTATTTTGCAGTCAGTTGAAAAACTGCTTGTCTCGGTTAAACAGCTTTTTTGTACTCATATGTGGTTTTCGACATGGTATCAAGCCATGTTATTTACTCCCTTTTCACTGTATGCTGTTTTGCGAAACAACGATATTGGCGGATTTGATTGTTTCGTTATTGCGATTCAAAGAGGATGTTTTTCTGTTGTTAGTCAGGTAGCACTCGAGTCTTGCATTGATAACCGATACAGGACCTGTAACAAATGATGTACAAAAGCGCACTTACTTCCGAGGTCAGCGTGTTGGACAACCACTTTCCGGGGTCTGGGTGGATGTGCGTTCCCCCCACCCCCCAGGATGACATAGTTGACAAAACAAACTGGGAACGAGTTTGCAACAAATAGTTTTGACGTTCCATTTGACACAGTGCTCATGTTTCAGTGTCATGATTTGTAGGAATAGAAATCGTCGCAGCGCAACACTCCAGTCTCATCGCAGAAGCTGTAAGGCGTTGTTTATTCATTGTTCCTCGCACAAGCACACTTAGGCATCCTACACCCACACTTTATATCTCTTCTAGTGTTTGATTCACTATTTCACAACGCTTTAAACAACACATTACCCAAATAACAGCCTTGGGAGATGTGGCGGCCAATGAAGTAGTCGTTCCCGAGAGGTTTAAAACAGTAGAGAATTTTCAACCTGTAAATCAGTCCCGAAGAGTGGTCAATCGCTTACGAGAGGTTCAAATTATGTAGAGCGTTTTTACTCACGTGGCCAGCATCTATGCAAATTTATTGGAACAAGAGAAATCGTTTACATAAGAAAAGATGGCCGCCGTTTCATTGTTTTGGAATACCAATATGGCCGCCGTGACGTCATTTGAAAACGCTCTATAGCCTGCAGTGCAAGCGTTTGCCAGGGGGGTGGTGTACGCGAACACTATAATACGCGGGAGTTGTGGTGTGTACGAGACACTTCACCTCTTGGCCACCCTGCTGACTGACCTATTGATCGATGGCGCCATCGAGCGCAATTTCTGCTCTCCCCAGTCCGCCCCATCTGCTTTCAAAATCAAAGATGGCAACTGAAGGCAGGCTCGCTCGCCCGAACACATAGAGTTGCACCATAGTGATCACACGGTCCCAATATCAAGACACATTGTCAAATTGTTCCAAATGGCCTCCACAAACATCTTATATGATAAGTTGGTAGAAGTTCATTGTCTTGAATCTTATTTCTTTATTCTCTTAACTTTATACTTGTCACATGTGGGGCTTAATGGGATAGAGTTGTCAGAGGCAGACGATACTACAACTTACTTGATTTCTTCTCCAGGAGTCAAGTTTGGTCTTTCTGATTGCTGCTTAATTCTTTCGACTTGAATACCATACATCAACCGTCGACCGAGTGAAACATCCTTTATTGGCCATACGAACAACACTCGAACTCGTTTGAAGGACCTTTGAATCGCACCAAAACAAACTGACTCATCAGACATGTCAATGATACAGACAACCAAGCCAATAATGGCTTGTCCAAGTTTTTGATGTTATTTTTTTCCTGACGAGAATAAATTTACTTGATAAACGAAGTTCGAGTTTCTTTCTCTTTTCCTTTTTAACACAATGCCTCGACTTCACGTTTGTCATTGCTAACATAAGCAGTGACCGCGCTCTCTGTAAGAAGGTCAGTAAGTCAGAGAGTAACGTTATAGCGGGAATTTTGAACGGCTGACTCGATTTTTTCCTTCCCTATGTTTGGTACGCGTGATGTACGTTAGGTGCGCATGTGAGCAAGGCATATCAGCGTATTTTTTTGCTCACACTCTCGCATAGCCACACTTGTTCGAGAACCAAGAACCGTTCGCACCAGAATTTTTGCGACTTTACCAGTAAGGACAGCTTGCGTTAAGACATCCCCTACGTCAATTGCTTTCACGTGAAGCGAATCAGAGTAATGTGAGACGTCTATGCGCGGGCTGTAGACAGGAAAGTATGGCACTATAAAGCGACAAATCAGGGTTTTAGCCTTTTGGTTTTCCATCCGACCACGATGAAGATCATTTGTGGTGTATACTCCGTATGTCCCCTTTTTCTTGGAGGAGGGGAACGACTGGCAAAGTAATCCGCTTTTAATACTGTTTAACCGAGAGCTGACGTGACAGGAGATTCTGTAGGAGGGGTGGGGGGGAGAGACCTAGAGTCGATACCAAGGTTTGTTGTACGAGCTAGGTGCTTGTTTTCCCATCAGCGAGCGCTTTCATTGGTCACTTCGAGGTCACATGACGTCTAATACTGAAACGGGTTCCCGCCACTGAGTGAGAAAAACACTGTAAAATCTATGACGTCACAGGGTACTAACAGCGCACTGACAACCGCAAATTTTGACCGGTCGCCGAGGTATACTTTCATAAGTTTCATGTACGCGTATTTCTTCGTACGGGTCAAACTATTTGATTTTGTGTCCCGAGGAAACACTGAGATTCATGGAACCATTCTTTAAACAGTTCTGACAGCACGGTATGTTTTTTAAAGAAGCCTCAAGTCGTAGCTCATGTCGGTCTGTTCTCTCTGCAGGTCCGTAGATGGAGTCAATGTAAAAGAAAAGGAAAAAGACAAAGAGAAAGAGAAAAAGAAGGACAAGAAAAAGGGATTCTTTTAGTTAGAGTTAAACAAATTATAAAAAAGAACTATATACGCCTTCATAGGATAAAATATCACAGTTTATTAAAATGGTCAAAAGTTTTGCTGAAAACTGAAATTGGCGAGTAAGTGTTTCTTAAAACATACAGCGTCGGTTGTACAAAGTAGTTCGCGGGTTGAAGTGCATTTAAAGTGTGTGGTTAAGAGAAATTTTAAAATAACATTTAAAGAAAATTTCAGCTACTACGTCCAGACTCGATTTTTGCCCTTTAGGACATAATTATTTCCTTTTAAGTATTTTCAGTGGTTATTTATAATTGTTTTTAAAGTAATGTAAGGTTATTTACTCTACATTTTTCAGTAATGGTGAATTTCCGTTTACAATCGAGTAAATCTCCAATTCACATGGGTTAATCGTTTTATAGCTTATCTTTAAAAATCTATACTCCTTTGATGTCAAGATGTTATTGATGCAAAGTTAAAGAGACAAAAAAGTGAAAAGAAAGTTAAGCTCATTTATCGATATTAAATGAACACGTTCAAGTAGGGAAGTACAGTCGACTTTCTCTCAACATACACCTCTTTAAGTAGACAGTTACAATGCGTAGGTCAAAGCAGTTAAAGTAGACAGTAGACAGTTAGGTTTCTTCTTCCGTTTGATTTAATTTAACTGCAGAAAGTTCGTGTTGCAAAAAGTAAAATATTGAAACTCCACCACCAAAGAAAAATGTACTCAAATATATGTAACTGGTAATTTGAAAGTGGCCGTAAAGTTAATTTTAATTGATACAATAAAAAAGGCCGGAAAGTGCAATAGTTTTCTTTTTTCTATTAATTAGATCTCTGCTATTTACACTATTTGAAAGGAGAATCGAACAGTGTAATCATAAATCACTTGGTGCTTTTTTTTCCAGGCGCCCGTCAAATATGTTATTAGATCTACCTGAGTGTTACAATGAGGGGCACGGGCTGATTCTATTTTTTATGTTTTGTTTTTTTTTTCACTTTGCCGTTTTCTGCGAGAATTTTTTGGGAAGATTGTCAATAAAATCACGTACTTTATAAAATAAAACCGACACACGGTTTTCTGAGACAATCCACCCAGTTCAGTACCAATGCTTGCTTTGTATATCTGATAAAGACTACGATACTTTAATTATTACTAAGAAGGCCTGCATTCTTTGGAGACTGAGTTGTTTAGCTGGTTGATCCTCTCCACCAAGAAGCTAGAAATTTAAGAGAACGTAAACAGTGTTTTAAAAGAAAAATTTACGGTATAAAAGAAACTTGACGTTTCGATACCCTGGTCCCAGAGGTTTTTCTTGATTTTTCTTCGCGAAAGAGATCAAGAGCAAACCGCGAAGCGGCGACAACGAGTCGCGAAAGCGACGAGGAGAGAGAGAAAAACCTCTGGTTACCTTGGCCTCGAATCTCACTTTCATGCTGACGACAGGGTCAGGATCTGACCCTCGGGCGTTGATTGGTTGATAGTTTTTCAAACGCGCAAACCAATTTGATTGGCTCGTTTAATTGTAACTACCGAGGGGACGCTGAGGATTTTCACACCTCATTTTGCCTCTCTCTACTAGGGAAGAAAATTGTTTGTATGCTGCACTCGCAATAACATTTGCACGGGACCAAGGCACGTAGAGGCACGCCATGGTTGTTGTTCCTGAAAGAATATTCGAAGAAATTTTGACCTCGGTACTTAATGAGCGCTTTCCCGAGTCTCACTGAGCAAGGGTGGAGGTAAAGGTATTCGCTGGCAACTGCTGACGGGGTGGGTGTAAAGGTATTTGCTGGCAACTGCTGACAGGTTGGGGGTAAAGGTATTTGCTGGCAACTGCTGACAGGGTGGGGGTAAGGGTATTCGCTGGCAACTGATGACAGGGTGGGGGCAAAGGTTTTTGATAACAACTTCTGACAGGGTGGGGGTAAGGGTATTCCCTGGCAACCTGATGGTCGTATTTTCATTCAGGAATTTAAGTTTAATATTTCAAAGGAACTTCAACTTACCAGGAACAGCCATCTTGTGGTACTCTTCAGGTTGCTCTAAGTGATCAATGTTACCACGCATGAACATCTTAGAGGTGTCTGAAGAAAAGTGGCTGTTTACAAAAGTATTAAAATTATAATGTTATTTTGCTGGAAAATTTAAACGAATCGTGTAAAATAAAAGCTAAGTTCCACCTGGATTTGTGCCCATGAATTCTGTAATAATAACTAAAGCCAGATGCAACAGTCCCCCACCGTAAAGTTCCGAAAGTAACGACCCTCGTTACTTTCGGATTTAGCAGCCTTCTCCTGCTACTTTTGGCGGGTAGCTAAAACGTGTACTGTACATGGGCCGAGCCGTTCGAAGTTACGGTAATAACATCGCACAAAAAGTGAAAACATGCATCCACACATTTTATTGAAGAAACTTATTTCAATTTATTGCTTTGAATAATAATTTGAAAGAATTATTTGGTTGATTTCGGTGCGAGTTTTCAGAGAAGAGAAGAATAATTTTTGAAAAAAATGTTATAAAATTTTAAGAGATTTTATAGTCGTGTCCTTTGAATAGGAATGACAAAGATCATTATAATCGTTAAAAATAAATTTCGGATCAGTTTGATTGCCCATTATTTCCTTTATTTCATTCAAAAAAGGGAAATTACTTTTTAGGTCGGTACTTTCGAAGGGTCATTATTTAAGGGCGGATCTCTACTTCCGGGATTTTCTAACACCTTTGAAAGGGTCGTTACTTTCGAAACTTAACGGAAAGTGGAGTGACCGGGTGTAAAACCTTAGCGGCAAGCGGTGAAGCCGCAAGGTGGCTCCATTTGTTCAAATGGTGAGTAGGGCTTTCTTCAGGATAACGTAAATGATTATCCACTGGGCAGTGATTTCTGCTAGCCTGTGTAGCAGGCGCTTGGAAGTATTAAATGGGCGCAAGAAGGAACGGTTGGCGGGAGAGAGAATGCAAAGTCATTCATAGAGCACTTCGAAGGCAAGGTGCGCTTTTAAACACATGCCTATAAGCATTACATAACTCGACCAATACCATCCCCAAGAGACTCGTAAATGTGACCTAAAACTTACCATATTACAAGTGAATCGGCATGAAACATAAATGCATTGTTCCTGTCAAAACTCTCGGTTGGTGTATGTGTTTTGTTTAAGGTTAGTCATCACCATTTGCATTCTTTTTATCATAGACTTGCGTTAATGACAAAACTAACCAGCCAATCATTCTTCTCTCGCGGGTCTCCCTTGCGACCTAGTTCTTTCTTGCTCTTCCAAGCGCCTGCGAGGCAGGGTAAACCTTTACCGAGAAAGTGTCAGCTGTTGGCTGACTTCGATGCTTTCCGTCGCTTGCGAGAAAATACCTGTGGTACCCAGGGTATGAAGTCGTGACTGTAACTGTGGATTTGGTTTGAAAGATTTTCCCCCGCTGAGCAAGTCAAAGTGGTTGGGGTCGCTTACACAAGAGGGTGGTCTTTTATGATAAGTCTCAACTACTGTATAGGACTTGGAATGGGAAGATTTTGGTGTTTTGGATACACGATCCCATAAAGAAGCCAGTCGCTTATAAGGGGTGGTTGGACATGGAGGTTTCATAACTGTAATAAATTATTATGCTAACATTTCTTACCTGTTCAAATCCTCACTATTTGCCCAGATTTCATAAACCATAAATGTATATGTTCCCGTGATTGTGCGCACACCAAGGCTGCAACGGTGGAAATAATTATGATCATGTTGATTACTTTCAACGTACATTATCTGTATTTTCAAGGGAAGAATAATCATTTGCTAACTGATTTAAAAGCCTGCATGCAAGGCATTTTTATAGGCTACAGGGTTTGTGCCTCGTAGCAGGGTCAAAATGATGAGGGAGCTTAAGCAACAACGACGGCGACGGCAACGGCAACAAGAACGGCAATAAAGCAATAGGTTTGAACTGGCAAAACAACAACTTTACACGTGCATCACGATTTTTGTACATTCTTTTGCCGTCGATGCACGACTACAACGTGAAAGTGCCTAATTTCGCGTTTTATCGTGGACGTGAACACAAGACAACGACTTTCTTTTTCTTTTCCTGAACTTTGATAGAGTCTTTTAGAATTCAGCTCCAGAAATAACTGCCAACATTTGACGAATTGAACGAGTTGGAATAAGCGCGATAAAGTTTGAGGTAGTCCAAATTTACTTTTTAAGTGACGTTTTCGAAGCCGTGACCGTTTAAATGTTGTTGTTTAAACTCCCTTTTAATATTGCCAGGCACTTACTGCAAACAGCCTTCTGCCATTGATGTTGACGCTATGTAGCTCTTCAGATTCGAGCGAAAAGCCTTTCCTGCCTTGGAATGAACTTGGAATTTCCTAGACACCAAAACCACCTGAAAAGCCACACAGAAAAGTGTTTGCTTCCTACGAAAGAAGCTTGGGCCGGGGTCATGCTCATAGTAGCCGAGGAGATCCCCGGTCCCCGTCACAAAGTGACAGCCCTGCACTGTATTATACTAATACTTCGGGGATAACAAATTTTTAATAGACAAAGTATAAATGGAATTTTATTTACCAACTGCTCATTTCCAAGTTCTACTTCTTCTTCATCGATAACATCAAACTTGACCTGTTAAATGTATCAGACTTAACAATGAAAACATAGCCTGCTAGCAAGCTCTTGAGGGGTAGGGAAGGTGTCGGGAGAGAATGAGAGCTAGCGCTTGCTTTTTTCTTTGCCTATGGCCACCCCCCAAGGGCTTGCTCACAGGCCAGCTAGTTAACAAAAATATAACAGTTGTTGTATTAAAAAGGTTAAATACATGTACAGCACCATTACACACCAAAAACATGTACAAAGACGTGAACAAAATCAGAGAAAACCATGCCGACAAGTAAAGTAAATCCCACTTAATGCAAAAACAATAAATAAATTAAATAACTAGAAAAACTGTACCTTATTTTCAAGTTTGCCGATGAGCTCTTTTAGTCTATCAACCTCTAAAGACAAACCATGTCTTAATGCCTGCTGAGATGCTGTACGTGAATAGAATGATGTACATGTATTCATTAGTTAAGAACAAAATATGAACGCATTAATTAACTAATACATAAAGATAAAGATGTGAAAGCATATATGATTCTCACAGCCTACGCGGCTGAAAAAGAACCTGAACATTTTCAAGATTGACAGGGACAAGTAAACTCAAGCCTAATTTTTTTCAGGTTCTTTTTCAACTGCCTAATAGATTGTTCATTCAACCGCGAGGATCATACTCCTTTTCGTTTGTTTAAATATTATTGACAATTTTATTTTACATACCATCAAGACTTGTTTGCTGTGAAAATGAGTGCATTTTTCTCTTCATCCTTCCTCCTCTAATGTTCACATTTGTAACTTCAGCTTGACAGACATCAGGCCTTCTCAAATGACAACAAAGCAAGTCTTGAGTGTAAGGTCAAAGGATGAATGGTACCGTGGCTACATGTATAACAGGTGAAGGTTTGTATCCCCATGATATATAGCTGAGATTACCAAATTTTATTAGCGTATGCGAAATTCCTTTTTTCTGCTGTAGGGGCTACCGCACCTTAATTATACAGAGTTAATCTTTATTCGCAGTTTAGCAGTTGTAATTGCAGTTTAAGTAATTGTAAATTATTACACCCCCAAAAAATTTCGGGACCTCAACTGGATCCATTTATATATATCTTCATTTAAATTTGTGTTTCCGCAGTTCACATCATCTTCATTGCTTCATTCCATTCATGGGTTAAGATGAACTCGACAAATTGACCTGCTCCTAATGTATGGGTCTCCATAGTTCAATTGGTTAGAGCAAATTCACTTTCTTTTTAATTGTTCTAGAACTCTTTGATTAAGAATAGTTTTTACAATAAAGTTAAGAATCGGATTCCAAATGTTACCCAGTTACTCGTGAACGTTTTGATCAATGAGCTGAAGAAAACACATCTAACTGCTACATTAATTTACAATTCATGAGATATATTTCAGCTTGCTTCGACTTTCGCGACGAATTATTAACAAAGTAGTTTAATTGGCCAGTGATTAAATTTTAGGTCTTATAAATAGCTTTTGAAATACTATATGTAATGTATGGTCCTGCAAATAAAGCTTGTTGTTGTTGTTCTTAGAACATTAGGCAGTGGTAACGTAGAGGCCATGGGTTCAAATCCCGTTGCAGTCCCGGAATTTTTTTCCTGTTAATTTGCCATTGCTTAAATTGCAATTACGACAGCGACGATCGTATCTTCATTTAAATTTATAAGTCTTTATTCACAATTAAATTTGGTAGGTGTCATTATATTTTTGCTTTGGCATGGCTAATTAAGTGCACCCATCAGCATGCAAAAATTTTGCCTCATAACATCAGATATGTATACCGTTTGTATTAAACAAAAATTGTGTTTGTCAGGTCTCTAGACCAGTTCCTTTGCGTGCATTCCTTTGGGGTGACCCGGCTCAAGATTAGTGATCAGAGCCCAGGGGAGACTCCCATGTGAAAGGGGCAGGGATGCTTGTCGTCTCGCTTAGTGATGCAAATTTTGGATTTTGGTCTCACTTAGGTTGTTCTGGGCAAAACGCCACTATATTTAGCCATAAAGGTTGTGTGCGAAGAAATATAAAAATATATATATTTTTCAACTCATTTTGTTTACTCCATTCATGTAATCAAAGTTCAAAATGGTCTCTTTTGGAGGTCAAAAACGGTTGGGCCACGCCCAAATTGGTCACCTTTACGCGTTTTCTTCAAAATTTCCGACGAGCATCTCAGCTCCCGTTTTATGTGGTAGTCCCCCTCCCCTCCTTGCCGTGGATATGAGATCACTGCAGATCATGGTACATCAACTGAACTGACCGAAGTATATCCCTTACCAGGGTGGGTTAACGAATTCCTTTGATGTACCAACTCTGATCCATGTTATCTCAGATCCTGATCTCGGACAAGATTGTGCTAATAGAATGCACCCTTCGTTAGACTCACCTTTGTTTTGTTTCATCTTCATCAATCTTGTCAACTGCAGCATTTATATGATGTTCAAGGCAACTCATTTGACCCTGAATCTGTGTAACATTAAAAAACAATAAATTATGGCGGTGACACAATGTCATGAATCATATTAACAACTAACAATATTAACAATATTATTAATGCTTTTATAATACATGCAGGTGTCCTATTATTTGTTCTACTCCTTGATCAGAATGAATAAGAAACAATCACCAGTTCTAAGAATATCATAACATGATTATTCCAGTTGTTCTGATACCTATTAATATTCACAAGAAGTTATATAAATATGATTTCGTTAATTTTTTTATCTTAGGTAACTTTTGTTTTTCTTTTGCTTTTGGGTATGCAAATGTAAGAAGTTGAAACAAAGGAAACATAAAAATTACTTGAGTTGAAAAATTAACTACAGCATATACAATGTGTATAAAATGCAGCGAAACTGCCTCCTAAAAGACTCTAGGGATTTCTTTACTTTAACTCCCAAGTAACTTAAACTACTTGCAAAATAAGACATCACGTCTTTACCACATTCGGCGCACGTATAGAAAATGTAAAATGTAAAAATAAAAATGTTCTAGAAGTCACCCTAATCATCCTAGTCAACCTAGGCATCCTGATCACCCCAGTCACCCAAGTCACCCACGTTACCCAAGTCACCCTAGTCACCCAAGTCACCCTAGCCCCCAAGTCACACTGGTCACCCAAGTCACCCTAGTCACCGTAGTCACCTTGGTCACCCAAATCACCCTAGTCATCCTAATCACACTAGTCGTCCCGATGACCCACTAGGATGACGTGGGTGACTTGTGTGACGAAGGTGACTTGGGTAACTAGGGTGACAAGGGTGACGTGGGGGATTAGGGTTACTTGGGTGACTAGGGTTACAAGGGTTACTTGGGTGACTAGGGTGACTTGGGTGATAAGGGTGACTTGGGTGAGTAGGCTGACTTGGGTGACAAGGGTTACTTGGATGACTAGGGTGACTTGGGTGACAAGGGTGACTTGGATGACAAGGGTGACTTGGGTGACAAGGGAGGCTTGGGTGACTAGGAGTAGGGTGACTAGTAATGACAGGATTACTAAGATGACTAGGTAGCGAGAAGAGTGGATGGGGATATGTTGTTATTTATCATTAAAAAAATAGTGCCCAAAAGGTGTTAGTGGTTCGTAATTTTTGATATAATGTGAAAATAGCTTTTACCTCATTTAAGAGAAACCTTGTAGTGAATTTCCCAATAAAGGATTTGCCAGGATATTCCTGAAAAAAAATAAGATAAGGAAAAACCATTTTTCATGAATCATACTAACTAAGACCATCAAAGGAGAGTTTACGAAAGGAAACTAAATTGATGTAAGGCAGAAATTTGAAACAACATTTCACATCTACCAGGGGTGTTGTCATGAGATTCAGAGAAGCTGGAAAATGATTGTTATGGTAAGTGTACTACATGTAGGCTTGTGATTATTGTAAAAAGGTTGTGATTCAGAAAACAAGGATTGTGTAATATTAATAAGATTGCTGGAAAGTAGTATTTAAAATCTCCTGACCTTTTCTGTTAATATTAGTTCACTAGCAAGTATATCCTATAGATGGTTATCACAGTGATGTCAGCAAATTGTAAAGTCAAAATAGCGAGGTTTTATGAATTCTTATTTACACTAGGTTGAAGATAATCAAAAAGTAAATCTTTGTACAAGTTTCCATTCTCGTAGCATGTTTCTTTTCAAAAATACAGCGATTTTTTTTTAATACAGCAATTTGAACTTCCGAGTTTTCACAGTGCGTGACAGCAAAATAGGAATGCTGTCTCGTAGAAAAAAAGTGTCTCCTCTTGATTTTTAGCAGATATGTTTATGCGCACATATGCTAGTTCCTGGGTGAAAAGAAAGAGCTTTTATAAAAAAAGTGAACTCCAGATGTTTTTGTTGATTTCAGGCAGCCAAAACGGTGCACCAATATGGCGTCTCCGTACAAAGCTCTACAAAGGTGAGTGAAATGTTTCGGCAAATAACTCAGAAACTGTGGGACACAAAGACCTGAGAGTTGGACAAATTGTTTTTATTAGTCTTTTATAACATTTCACTTTGTTGGCTTCTTCCACTGGATGGTTTCCAATTTAGTTTTTGTTGTGTGACAGTGAAAACAATCTGTTATTAAAAACTGAATCATTGGCTAATGCAATTCTAGAGCTTTGCCTTAGCCATCATGGTATATGAGCCATTATACCATGCTGTGCAAATAAGGTAACTGTATACGTCTGCTCAAAATTAAAAACAAGCTGAAAATCGGACATTTTTACAAATAAAGTCGCGAAGAATTCTCAATATTTTGTGGTTTTTTTTAATAAAACAATAATTATTCCACTAACACTTTGTGGATATGAGATGATTATAGCCACCTTGGCGCTACACACCTCAGTGACTATCCATCTCATATCCAATGCACACTTGTGGAATAATAACTGTTTATTTTTAAAAACTGAATCATTGGATAATGCAATTCTAGAGCTCTGATTGGCTTAGCCATCATGGTATATGAGCCATTATACCATGCTCTCCAAATACATGTATGGTAACTGTATGCGTCGGCTCAAAATTAAAAGCAAGCTGAAAATTGTTTATTTTTACAAATAAAGTCAGGAAAAATTCTCAATATTTTGGGGGTGTTTTTAATGATACAATAATTATTATTCCACTTGCAGTTGTTGGATATGAGATGATTATAGCCAACTCATATCCAACACAAGCTCATGGAATCATTGTTAAATAAAGCCTACATCTAAAACTCTTACATTGTATGCTATAAGAAAAATAAATAACAAAAAATACATGTTTACCTTTGCCGACTCCACAAGAGCATTGCTAACAGCTCGGTTCATGCTTTCCAAATTAGCAAAGATCTCAGAAAAAGGCCCCATCTCCTTCATGAAGTAATCTGCACAATTTATAAGAAAAAATATTCAGGGCTCGAAAAAAAAGTCGCGTCTGGTAGTCCAGGACAGGTAGATTTTTTTCACAGGGCAAGTAACTTTGAAGGCTCACTTGCAAAATGGGCAATGATCCAGGCAAGTCATTCTCTAATAAAATCATGAACTAAGATGAGCAAGAAGTAGCCTAGGGTAAGCAAAACATGAGATGCCGCCTAAAGAAAAGCTGCAATTCAAGTTTTTTCCAAGCCCTGATATCACCTATTTATTTTTGTTACATAACAAGCTTTTTTCAACTTTTATAAATTATATTTATTAGAACTCCACAGATAAGTTAAGGTCTAACATACAGTAAAAAAATTATTTTTTTAAAGTATGATAAAGAGAAAAAAATTAATAATTAACCATAACACAGGTTCAAGATGGAATCCATCAGGAAATTGAGTAATTATTTCAATTTTCAGTGGACGAAAATCTTGTACCAGAAAAATATTTAAAAAATAAATTTTGTTGTATTCTTCTTTACACTTTTTAAGGGCTATAGATATAATAAGTTATCTGTAATAACACCAAAGACTATTTGTCAGGGGGCCAGAGAAAATAAATGTTAAAGATTAAGCAACAAATGACAGTAGTTTTACATACCACACAGCTCAGAAGTGTCTAAGTTACTGAAATAAAAAAATAAATGAAATTTGTGATTGGAAAAGACTATTAAAATGAAATTCAAATCAACTCAATCATTAAGCTTTCCTGGCATCAAAAAGAAGTCAAAGCAATCTTCAAATCTGTTGAAGAAGAGGCAGCAGGGCAGGGGTCTGAGGAAGCCTCCAATACTCATAAGTTAGATCTACCAAAATTTAGCCTGTTCCAGGCATTCAGATATAGTAAAACCCTGCGTATAAGGACCTTGCTTTTAAGAACCTATCAGGCTAAAATTTTCATTTTAAGCCCCCTCTCCACATAAAAACCTATTAAGGCTAAAATTTTAAGTTACGTTCTTATCAGTGGAGATGCTGTAAAAGTGTGAAAATCCCGCAAAATTTTGCTTTTTTTTCCGCGAAATATCTGAAGCCCTGAAGTGTATAGGTCGAAACTGCTGAATTAAGATCATCATCTCATCATCTGGGCATTACTGTATGGAATAAATGATTCATATTGTATTATGAGATGATATTTCTAAAAAATTAATATATTTAAATGAATTTCATATGAAAATATAAGAACCTACTTTAAGAACCTTGGTAGTCTAAATTTGCTTTAAGTACCATTTATATAACAACCTGTTAAGGCTAAATTAAAAAATCCAGGTTCTTATACGTGGAGTTTTACTGTAGTAGAGTGCAAGAGAAAAATTCAAGGAGAGAAAAATAATATTGAGGGGAAAAGGGGAGGGAACACCTGTAAACATTCCCTTACAGGGGCTCTTTCCGCTCTTAATTGACCATTAACTGTGCAACTGTAACACAAACTACAGTTTGACTGAATTGTGAAATAAACTGTTGACAGGCTAGATGTGAACTATAAGCTTGTGATCATGTAAAACGTGACCTTTGAATTAGCTTTCAATAAACAATGTTAGAGGTTTTCCTTCTTTTCACTGAGCACATCTAATTCCTGCCGCACCGAGTCTAACACTAATAACTCTATAAAGAGGTCTTGATGCTGGTCTGTTTCATGCATACTGAGCAGAATTATCATTTTCCTGCAGTTTGTTTCGGAAAGGATTTGATTTCAGATGCAGTTAAGTACTGATTTTCTTTGACCTCTGTGAAGGCCTTAATCTTTTTATTGGGGCTAGATATTAAAAACTTTCAAACAAGATTTTTTTTGGCTTTCTGGGCTTCCATAAAATTTGTATTAATGATCTCACACTTTCCCCACATTGCCATGCCTTTGTCCATGCCTTTGTCCATGCCTTCCTCCTGCCCCCAACCTATGGCTGTTGCTGGTGTTTTTCCAAATCGCTTGAGCTTGGTATTTCATTATGGTTACGAGAGGTGCAATGATGATGATTGTGGAAATTGACATGCCAACTTTTCCTTTGATTACATTCATTATTAGTGAAAAGAGTTGAAAAATCAAGCTCTCCCCAGAGCCTGTTGGAAGAATTGCAAAAACGTCCTGGCCTTGGCGAACGAGATTCAAGCAAATTTTCTGCTCATCACAAAAAGATTTGACATACAGGAAATGCTTGATTGTGTTGTTTATAGTCGCTATAATGTCCACATGATTCGATAACAGATGTCCCTCTCCCTGCATATCGCATTCCTCATCAATGTCACCAGTGAGTGCTCGAGTGTTAACAGATGTCATAATCCACCAATAAGAGATCCAGTATACCGGAACAATCCTTTGTTAAGAATGTTTACAGGCATTCCCTTGCTCTCGCCCCATTCTCCCCCGTTTTTTTTCCTCTTGTTTTCCCGGTGTGCAATTTAACTTGCTCCCCACCATCTGACCGCTGCGCTCTACTAACTGAATGCCTGGAACAGGCTAGCCAAAATACAGTTCATTTTGCTCTGTATAATTATTAAAAAGAACTTGATTCATCCAGTTTCCTAACCCTTATCCTTTAACATAAGAATCATTGAGTGTTCAGAGGCTGTTCAGCGCTGGTAAAATGCTGCTGCTACATGCTTTCCTTGATTTTTAAAATATTATTTGTTATGGTGTGAAGATAGTGATTAGTCATGCTTACTTTGTTTTGTGGGTGTCAATATCATGGAACAGCTTCTCTAAATCTTCACTTGACAAAATCCCATCACTGAAAAATGCTTTAAATTCCTCTAAGGAAAGGGCTCCATCATCTACATTTAAGTAAAAAAAAAAACATGTCCAGCTGGGCTTGGAAGGAGTAAAAGTATTATTTAAAGAAGATTTAATTCAGCTATTATTTTAACATTTCTTTTTCACATTGCTCATAATATAGCTTGCCCATAATTTAGCTTGTTTACCCTCGATTATCCGCACTTTTTACTCAAGTCCCAACAAGTCCGGATAATCGAGGTTCAACTGTATGGGCAATGAGCAAATAGTGAATAAGAGACCCACTGGAATACCAAGTTCAGTTGCAATATTAAAATCCATGCTCAGTATCCCGTGTGGGTCTAGATGCAACTGAAGGTGTCTAGCCTGCACTGCAACCAGGGCTCAAAGTTTAAATTTGACTTTAAGAGCACTGGTGCTACCAGATGTAAATTTTTAGGCGCACTGCCGAAATTTTAGGCGAACAACTGAAAAGTTTAGGAGCACAGCTTATAACGTTGGGAGCATCCCACGTTTATATGTCATCTTCAGTTTGTTACTTTTATTTCAGTCCTGTGATTGATAAAAACAGCCGATTTGCTATATGCAGTAATACTGTTGTGTTTTAATACTAATTTCTCTTTTCGACAGTACAGTTGTGACTAAAGAACACTTACACTTGAAAAGAAATTCAAAACTGACAACAATGAGTGTGTCGAGCGAGAATGAAAATTAATCTTTAATGAATTTGTTAAATGCGCAATTACTTACATGTATCTGGGATATGACTTAAAAACTTCCTTACACTGTTTTTGTTTTGATCGACCTTAAACTGAAAGTTCGACATGATCGTCCATTGTGCAAAAAGCACGTATTTCGTTCATAGCATATTTGCATGTGCCAGCGGCGTTTATTACACAACAGAAGAGTCTGGGATGGAGTAAAACATTGAAACAAAAATGAACATTCGAGTTCGTGGAATCCATTGGCAGAAAATACGAATTAAACATACACAGATGAAGGGAAAACAATGCAACCTATTATTTAGAGCCTGGTTGTGCTATTCTCCATTACTTTTACTTTCATCACTTGAAGCTACTGTTTGACATCTTACTAGTTCTAGTACGTAAGTATGGTCAGAAGCAAGTCAGTCGCACTGTGCTTTGGGTTTTACAGTGCACAGGTGCGATTACACATGAATTTTCAGGCGCACAACCAAAAATCCAGTCGCATATGCGAACAGTTAGTCGTTAACTTTGAGCCCTGGCAAGTACATTTTTAGGCAAGTAAAAGCTGCTTGTTTATGCTGATTAAATACCATGGCCACCACCTAGCTTTTACCACTGAGGAAGATTAGAGAGAGTAGAAATATCAACCCTTGAGGTAGGCATTAGGCAAAAGAAGGACTATTTCCTTTACTTTATATGCAAGCATAATGATTCATGTCCCCAAAGAAAATGCCTTCATGCCAATGCAGGCTAAAGGCCTGGGAAGGGGGGGAGGGGGGTTGGGATGACGATTTGAGTTACAGGATTTTTATTGAGACCCTTTATTTAGGAGAGGGACCCAGTACAGGGATGATTGTCATCTTACTAAGGAGTGAAAATTGCAGATTTTGGTCTCACTTAGAGTGTTTAGGATGGAGGGTCAATATAATTGTCAGGCAGGTATTGCTAAGGATTCCATATAAAGCGAAACCTGACAAAAAAAAAACAAACAAACAAAGAAACAAACAAACAATGCTGTCTTACACATTGTGTTGTAAGAAAGCATTTGTAAACAATGTTGAATTTGATATCAATAAGAAAATCACTATATTTTTGGTCTTATTTTATTGTCTGTTTCAGTATAGTCTCGCCTTTAGGGTCAATGAAGCCTGAGCCACATTCAGATTGGGACAACCCCCTCCCCCTGATACAGAAGTCTCCCGGGGTTAATGGAGTAGATCACACATCCCCCACAATTTTATCCCTGCCCCTGTCAAAGTACATATGACAGCAAAAAACATACTCAGATCAAGGCAAGAAGGGTTAATCTGCAAACCTTGGGGTCAGATGCAAAGTTAGGACATAGCCTGCTTAGCTGGCATTTTTTTTTTTGGTGTGTTTTATCTTTTGTAGTAAGAGATACAACTGCGGGAAAGCTGAACCGAGGATGAAAAAGACAAGGATCAAGGGGGTGGGGGATGAAGGCGAGGAGAGAAAGCAGCGAGAATATAAGGTGCGATCCACTCAACCAAAATTCTGACCAATCCCACCAGGAAAAGTGGTCCACCTCAAAAAGTGGACCAGTGTTTTCAAAACTTTTCCGGTTGGACTGAACAGATCCATATTATTTTACTTCTCATGGGAAAACGGAAAATGTCAGTCTTGGACCGAAATTTCCAGAAATTTTGGTTCGGTGGATCGTGCCCATAATTATCTCACTGCCTTCTTCCCCCCACCCCCCCAATCATTTTCTGTTTCAACCTCGGTTCAGCATAAGTACATGGAAGGTTCGTCTGAATCAATTAAGAAACACCTATTTCAATTTGGAACGGCTCAGCAGTTCTTCACGCCCAGCCCGGCCCGGAATTTCGACTGTGGAACGACTTTGGAACGGTTTTGATTCAGAGGCAGAACTCTTCTTGTACCAAACTTAATGCATAAATTATAATAACGTGTTTTCCAATCTGTTTGACCAAAATGAGCATTTGTAGCCTTTGGAATTTAGTTCGATTAAGATCGGCGTCTGAATCAATTCAGGCAGTCTAAATAGTTTCGGTCGGCCTTAATTCGAATTAGGTTCGGCTCATGAAAAGTTCGGCGCCTGAACCGGGCCGGATACTACTTGTGAGATCTTGTATTTGTCCAAATTAGCTTGCAACGAAGCAGTAGTCTGTCGGAATTTTTTGTGGGTCAGCGATTTTGTCACGTCACTAGGCAGACTGGGCACTCACCGGTTTTGTCTGCTCTCCGGAAAACCTAGGACAAAAAGACCTTTTTTAAGAACATTGAATGCTCTACAGAATAAATGTTTCAAGATCTCACATATTCTTACGTCCAAAAAAATGGATCTTCCCACTGGTTCCGGTTTCTCTTCTGTCGTTCCCGCCATCTTTAACTTCCGATTCGGTTCAAGCGCTTGCAAGCACTGGGACCGAACGTAAGTGCCGGACTTCAAACGGAGAAATCCGAACCTTCCCGAATATTCAGCAAAATGGCGGCAGTTTCGTCGTCTCCCGTTGTTCAATCAATTGATCAAAAGTCCATCCATCAGATATGCTCCGGACAGGTTGTGTTAAGCATTGCAACTGCTATGAAAGAACTTGTTGAAAACAGCTTGGATGCTGGAGCTACAAACATCGAGATCAAGCTAAAAAACCACGGCGCGGACTTCTTGGAAGTCAACGACAATGGTTTTGGCGTCGAACCGCATAATTTCGAAGCTTTGACTTTGAAGCATCACACATCGAAACTCAGGGATTTCTCAGATCTAACAAGTGTGGAAACGTTTGGTTTTAGGGGAGAGGCTTTGAGCTCTTTGTGCGCCCTGAGGTAATTAATTTGATATTTAACCCACCACATCCCCCTCCCCTATATGGATGACAACCTCTCCCCTGGGTACAGGGTTGGGGGAAAGAAGAAAAGGAGAGCATGCCCACCCTTGTACCCCTGGGAGAGCTTTCTTGGAATATTTCTGAGGGGTATGGGGGGAAAGGCCCTGTTTCTGAGGGAAGGAAGAAAAAACTGGCTATTTCTGAGGGGTTAACTTTGTCAGTACTTTCAATCTTTAAGCTGTAAAAGTCAACGTACTTCATCCATGTGAAGGTGGGATGGCTATAAGTAAATGGAATGGTAGTAAAACAACCTTGTCCCCAGGGCTCTTTTCCCTGGCTTTGGAGGTGGGGCAAAGCCATGGAAAAGCACCCTGGGAATGAGGTTGTAATAAAGTTAATTAAGGCTGTTTTGTCATATAGTATTTCCTCAAATAAGAGCCCACACTTTAATAAATGCACTCCCCCTAGTAAGCATCCACCCGCTAGGCCCCCTCTAGCAGCTCACCCCTTCGGCACTTACGTGATTCCTCAAATATTAAAAATATCCTGATTTTACCTGCTCAAAAGGTTGGTCAGTCTGTGAAGTATCAAAAATATGTCCCAGCATCTGTTCCGAATGGCACCAAGCAATATGTCAGAGGGTGGAGTCCCAAGAGAAACTATCGCTGTTAATCACTGACACTAAACATGTTTACATGTAGGGAATGCCATGCAAAAAATAGGGCTGCTTTGGTGCTAGGGGGATATTCTGACAGTGATTTTTAATGGTGTTTGTACGAAGCCTGCTGTAGCCTGAATAAAAAATTATCGAATTGGAAACTTAGTTTAAGTTGTAATAAAAGAACTTTATTTGCTATAATAAGCTTTTCGTCTTTGTTCCGTGCGTCTTGGGTTGACTGCGAGCAAGAGAATTTCCTTTAGTACTCAATGTTTAAAGCTCCTTAAAGGGCCATTCAACAAAATGAATGCATCACAGGTTTGAACATATTCATCCAATGATAAACCTTTTTTATAACCAATATCTTGCGAGAAATTACCCAAATAAAGACACCAGACAATGGTTTATTCCCTTCTTTGAGTGATTTTGTCTTTAAAATACCTAGTTCTAAATGTCACGATGACTGTTTTCCATCTTTCTTAATTGGTCGTACCACAAGGGAAATTTGATTCAACCAATCAGAAGGACTGCTTAGATCAGGGTAGTGATGAGTCATCAGTGCGCTTGTTTCTCAGACATCATTTTGCAGGGAAACCAGTGGTGGGGTCGCAAAATCAGTGTTGGTGGTTTTCTCAGGCTAATAAATTGATGTTTTGTTCTTTGTTTCAACAGTAAGCTCTCTATAGTAACGCACCATTCTTCCCAAGCTGCAGCAACAAAACTAGAATATGATCACAATGGCAAGTTGCTTTCAAAGCAACCTTGCGCCAGGGATCTTGGCACAACAGTCTCCCTACAAAACTTGTTTTCTACCTTGCCAGTGCGGCACAGAGAGTTTCTTCGTAATATAAAAAGAGAGTTCACAAAATTGGTGCATGTTCTGCAAGGATATTGTCTGATAAGTACAGGAGTTCGAATAACTTGCAGTAACCAAGCAGAAAAAGGAAAGAAAACAATGATTGTGAGTACAAATGGTAGTGAGCAAGTTAAAGATAACATCACTTGTGTGTTTGGGCCCAAACAGGTTTGTAAGATTTGTACTTGTTTTGATAATCTATGGGTGAAATTTTATAATTGAAATGTGGCTACCATTTTTCCAACACTGCCAGTTTAGTACAATGTATATGTTACATGTCAAAATTAGATTCAGGTTAAAATTTTTGAACCTACCAGTAGGTTGATTCTCAATTTGCTTTGTTTCCTATGCCTAATTATTCATGAATTAGGACTAGGAGACAAAGGAAATTGAGAATCAGCCTAGGTTAAAAAATGTTAACCTGAATTTAACTTTGACCTGTAACATATATGTCAACAAAACCTTAGACAGCAAAACAGTCCATATTTCTGTTTAGTCAAGTATGAACAAACAGTCAGACAAAAAATCTGGTGTGAGGCTGAAAACAGTGAGCGAGACTGGGGAAAGACGTCAATTACTGGACGCAGTGTTCACCACAAGATTTGAAGGGAAAGGTAGACAATGACATGCTATTTTCCCCTGAAATCTGTCATCAAGTCTATTAAATTCACAAAGAGGGTGGAGTTGTGAACAGATTTTTGACAGCTCGACAACATTTGGAGCCCCTTGTCAGAATGAAGTTGTTGCGTGGAAAAACGGACAGTCATTTTTTTTCTTTTGGGCATGTGAGGCTTGCTCGCTTTGCACGTGTGAGAAGGTGATGCTATGCCAGTGCTTTGCACCTTGAAGAAAGATTTTGTCTTGTTGAGAAAAAGTCTAAGAAAACCTGGATTGAACAGATCAGGTGACCCTTGTAATCTCTAAGTGACAAACAGTTAGAGATATGATGACCATAAAAACAGAGCTGTGACAGATAAGAAAATTTTTTCTGGCATATTTGAAGGCTTATGTGTAAAAGAGGCTCACCCAGCAAAACCTGCTAACAGGGTTTTCTCTAAGATTTCAAGCTGCTGGGTAAATACAATAAGTAGGTGGGGAATCAAACAGCCAGGGATTTCTTTTGGTTCTATTTTCTAATTAATAGTAGCCAGAGACCACACTCGTAGAAGATGGGGGAAATCACTGGCTTCCAGCCCTTAATGACATCCCTGCTGCTAACCTCTTTCAAGTTCTCTTCTTTTTAAATCTTTTTTCCTCAGCTCACTTGTTTCCCTCAAGTGTCTGAAAAAATGGCAAATGAAGAAAATGCCAGGGAGTGGCTTTACCTTTTTTTTTCTTTCTGTCAACCGGTCTAAAGAAATAATTATTATTATTTCAGATTCAAACAGTAATGGCCATCGTGCAGTCTGCTCCATCAGAAGAAGACTGCAATGAACTTGGGCTTGTTGCCTCAAAGTGCAGTGCTCAGGCAAACCCCTTTAAAATCACTGGATACATTTCAAAACCAGATCATGGTATGGGCCGCAGCAGTGCCGATCGTCAGTTTTTATATGTTAACAAGCGACCCTGTGAGCTGAGCAAGGTGTCCCGTGTCATTAATGAGATCTACCATATGTTTAACAGACACCAGTATCCATTTGTGATGATAGACATATCCTTGGCAAGAGGTTTGTTGTGGTTTGTTGCAGTCCTTCTTCTTATGTCTCAGTTATTACTTGTCCTCACATTGCTCAATATAGAGAATCATATTACTCTTATGCAGTATCCTACAATCTAGGATGCATATGGTGCATGTTGCTTGCAGAATATGTCCCTACATTTCAGACGATTATTCTAGACAGTAGCAGTTGATTGCTGTCTTTGACAACAAAATCAGTTGAGACACTTCACCTTATGGGGCCTTTGTTTGTTTGTTTGTTTTTAATTTAAGTATGAAAAAAATAATAAAAGCTATTATAGGGCATTTGTGACATTTTGCCAAATCCAGAAGGGGAAAATGAAGCTTTCCCTCCCCCACCCCTCCAAGCAATGTTGTACCATTGTACGAGCTACCTGTAAGAAACAACAAGGGAAGAGGTGCAGATTGTTTTGTTCCCAGTTTTTCTTGGTGTTGCAGAATCTTTTGTAGGTTACGTTTCTGCTGTGGTGTTGGTATTGTCAGTGTCCTTTCAATCTTTTGTGTTACAACACAATGTACATTATCGTGTGATTCCACTAGTCTGCAACATCGGGAATCAATCCCATATGATAGTGTCTCAGCAGGAAGAAACCAGGGTTATCAGTTCAACCTTCAATGCGGCTCTTTCCCTGTTCCTGACTGGATAGGTGCTACATCTGATTTAGAAACTTTTTATACCGTTAAAGCCCTTGTAAGCAACTGCCTCAGGAATCCATATAAAAGGTTCACAACTAGAGTCAATCACTTACTAGAGTTTTCCCAAGGAGTCAGCATCAATAACGGGTAACATGAAGAACAGCTCCCCGAAACATATGTCGTCCATTTGTCGGTTGACTGTCGACTGGTAGGCGAACAACAGTTTGTCAGCTGACAGTTGATGGTTTGTTGGCCACTTGTTGGCAGCTTGTGGGGCGATTGTTGGCCAATTGTCGTCTGTTGGCCAACTATTGATCGTCTGTCAGCTCACTGTTGGTCAACAGTCTACTGACAGACGGCCAACAGATTTTTAGAGGACTGAGCTGTTCTTCAATTTACCAATAACGTTCACCATGTTTCAACAAAAACTCTGATAACATTGGAAGTGTGAGGCATGAATGCCTAGTTGCTCCACTCTTGATCCTACGACTTTCATTTTCTTATCAGATGGTGTAGATGTCAATGTGACTCCAGACAAGAGACAGGTGTTTGTCCAAGAAGAGAAAGTCCTTCTAGCCACCATAAAATCGTCGCTGAGGAAGATGTTCGATGGTGGAACTGCATCATTTGATGTCAATCAGAAACCTCTGATGCAAGTAAAACTGTCAGCCTCCACGTTCGTTTCTAGACCCCACAATGGCGACTCCCATGGAAATGAAGACCTTCGATACTCTCAGATGAAGCAGGATGAAAAGGTATCGAATCAACCTGCTTCAGTTGTACCAACAAGGACGCATGTCGAGAAAGGGAAATTTCCATCGCTTAGCAGTTTCAAGAGGAAGTTTTCATCGGTTGAGCAAGATGTGGTTGAGAAACCAAAAGAGCCTAGCTGTAAGCAGGTGAAGCTTACCAGCGTATTCACGCGGGATAAACAAGCTTCGAGGCTGAAAAGCAAAGAGTCTGTGGAAACAGATAGTGGGACTGTTAATGCTGTCGCTAAGACTCAAAGATCTGAAAATATTGGTGACAGCAATGAACAGTTAGCAAGAAAAACCGACATTGAAGTTGTTAAAGTTAAGGATGATATCATTTCTGTAAGTGAATCTGATGATGACGAACTTAGTTCTCAGAAAGACGTCCAGCAAGAAATAGATTCAGAGCGTTTTGATAAAACTAATCAAACACTTTTAGGCCAGGCTAAAGATAATTTAAGTAACGCATCTTGCAAAACAATACTGGTTCTTCCTAAACTTGGCAACACTGAAAAACAAAGTCAGGTATCAGAGATGGTTAGAAACAGAAAGGAAACAACAGTGAGTTTCAGTATGAATAAACTTAAAAGCGTTGTTACGGCACCAACGAGACAGAAAACAGATGAAGTAGAAGCTCGTTTGTTCAGAGCGAAGATAGCACCAGAGAGCAATTCCAGTGCTGAGAAAGAACTAACGAAAAATATTAGTAAAGATATGTTCAAGCGTATGGAAATTTTGGGTCAATTTAATCTGGGTTTTATCATCGCAAAACTGGACAGTGATTTGTTCATAATCGACCAGCATGCTTCAGATGAGAAATTTAACTTTGAGGATCAACAGAGGAACACGACAATTAAGTCCCAACGTCTTATTGTTCCCCAGAATCTTGAACTAACCGCTGCTAATGAAGCTATCCTCATGGACAACGTGGAAATATTTCAGAAGAACGGATTTGACTTTGAGATTGATCACAATGCCGAGGCAATGAAGAAGGTCAAGCTAGTTTCTCTGCCCATGAGCAAGAACTGGACGTTTGGTGTTGAGGACATCGAGGAGTTGATTTTTATGCTGAGTGATTCTCCTGGCGTGATGTGTAGACCTTCAAGGGTGAGGAAAATGTTTGCAAGTCGTGCGTGTCGCATGTCCATCATGGTTGGAACTGCACTTAACCAGGCTCAAATGAAGAAGGTTGTTTGCCACATGGGAGAGATTGAACATCCCTGGAACTGTCCTCACGGCAGACCCACCATGAGGCATCTAATCAATCTCAATATGCTGCCAGCCTCGCAGTTGGATTGAAACCTGACGAAGTCTGTGAAGGCTGATACACTTCGGTCGTATTAATTAAACCCAAGGGGATAATGGGTCTCAAATAGAGGGCTCAAAAAACGAAACTTGAATTCCAGCTTGTCTTGTAGGTAGCAGCTGTCATATTTTGCTTGCCTGGAGCCATTGGTGGCTTGTCTTAGTTAAAGATAATGATACCGACCTATCGACTTGAAGCGATGAGTTTTATTCCCTAGCACCCTCCATAAACAACGAATGTACTGGCGAGAGAACTCAAGATTTATATTTATCCAGTCAGTCTTATAGTTTACTACACAGCTGATTGGTGGCGTGATATATGACGTAAATAATTCGTCTTACAGTGCGGAATTTAAAGTTTGTTGTTGATTACCAGGTCATGTCAAGAATCCTTACACTCTGGCTACAAAGGTCCGTTCTTATAATTTCTAGCATAAAAAAATCCGTGCTCACCGTTTGATTAAACTCTCGAGACAATTTTTTTCTCCTCTCGGCGTGTTGTGCTACCCTGTGGCCTGTGGAGGCTACGCCGCTCCCAATAAAGGCATCAGGAATTTGGAAAGAAGAAAAAACCTCGTGTCTTACTAGCAATCGGTTAAAAAAAAAAAAGCATCAGGTCGGTACAACACAAAAGATAACTACTTATTAATTTCCATTCGCATGTCAGTTAATTCGTATCTTTGAAGTCGCTTCTGTAAAAATATATGCCTGCGTAGAAAGCGTTTCCAATCGAGTTATTTTGCAAAGGTTGGAGTAAGAGCACAACAAATGGAAGATCGAAGGGGGAAGGAAAAGGAAGATACGTTTCCTTCTCCCCCCTAGCCTGAATTTCATCCGATTACTTCGAGTCGTTATTACTCCCTCAGTAACGTCTGAATCGACCGGTCGTTAATGCCGTCCAGTGACGTCACTACTCCTTTTCTTTAATTCATGCAAAAAGTTAAACACGATTTTCAAGTGACAAACCAAGAAATATCGTTTGGAATTGTCTGCGTGATACAGTTGACCTCGCTCCCAATGTTTGGCTTCATAGCTCAGTTGGTAGAGCAACGCACCGGTAACGGGGAGGTCACGGGTTCGAATCCCGTTGAAGCCCTGATTTTTTTTTTTTTTCGGGCTTCTTCTTTCCAATTGCTTAAATTGGAAAATTTACTGCGATGATCATTCTTCACTTTCTTTCTTTTACTTATTTCGATCGTAATTCATGTATAACGTTCAAACTATCAACTGCATGCAGTACTCTGAACTGGTTGTAATTCCATAATCAAACTCGGGTGCAGTCACGCAATGAAATAAATACACACACGGAACACTTAGTTCAAAGACTCAACGATATGGTTTAATTGAAAAGAAGCTATTTGGTCCTTAACGAAAAAAAAAGAAAACAAAGAAACTTGACAGTGAAAATAGCTAGAAGGTCGAATCAGTACAACATTGGTCTCAGAAACTTCACATAAACAAAATCACTGCCAAGACCACAAAGCGACTCTAAATGAAAAACCTTATCACTCTCCGCATTGATTCTTCATTCGCAGTTCAATTTAGCATTCCAGTTTCGAAGACAAGGGCAATTTTACTGTTTACGATAAAGATTATAGAAATGTTTGAACTCCACGCAATCATACCAGGGATGCGACCCGATGAATATCAAGCGACAATCCCGCTAAAATTTCTCATAATTATGCGAATGTTTAGACAATGAACTAATCAAAATCACTACCCGTTTTTCGGGTAGTGAGTGACGTCATTGTACGGCATTAACGGCTGGTCGATTCAGACGTTGCTAAGAGGAGAAAACGACTGGAAGCAATCGGATGAAATTCTCTCCAACTCCCCGCCCCCCCGCTTCATTCCACTTGTTTGCTCTCGTCCCGACTTTCTAGATGAACTCGAGCGGAGACGCTTGCTACGTAGGTTACAAAAATACTAACACTACTCCCAATTGCACTACACTAAATCCTTGAGTTATTAAGTGCCATCGAGTCTTCAGCTGTATCGTCGTCGTCGAGTGTAGATTTTTATCGAGGCTTGTTGTGATTTTCGTGGAAATCTGAGATGCCTTAGCTTGATTTTAACCTTGGGCAAGAATAAAAAAGGATGATTAACTTGATCTGACATTCTTGCGAATTGTTCAGAAAGAACTATAAGTGATCTTTATTTACCTACAACTGCAGAAAAGACTTGCAAAAGTCTTTACAATTTAAGCGCGTTCGACTTCGCTCCTAGTCTGAAATGTAAGCGATCACCACCCCCTAACCCTCCTTTTTTTTACTCGTCAGTGACGTCCGTTGGTCACCCCGAACTTCACCTCTTTATTGTTATGGGTGTTGTTGGAAGTTATAATTAACAAAGCAATAAATTTTATTATTTTATGCCCCAACAGTACCCTAATCAAGGGAGTTGTGTATTATAATATTATGAGCTTATTAATATGATCAAGTTTGAAAATTATAGTAGTCATAACTTAGCTTTCATAGATCAAGATCGTAAAAATAGCATAATATATGCTTCTAGTTCTAGCAGTGCTCGTATATTTCTAAAATTGTGCCAATAATTTAAGGTGGCTCGACTGGATTTTTGGGGGGGATACCTCCCAAGTTTGAACATTAACTACGTCGCCATGAATGAAGATATGGAAAAAACGTTTCAACAACTGTATTATACAAAGATGAAAATTTCTTATGATTTGGGTTTTATTGCAATCGGAGTCGCCATGGCAACGTAACGACGCCATTACGTTTTTCATTTATCATTGTGTTTCTCTGCACCAGGAGTTTTTTTAAGACATCGCTCAAGGGAGTTTCTACCTGCCATAATTGCCTCAATTATGGCAAAGTTTGAACAAATTCTATGAGAGCGTTTTCTAAATTTGTTGAAACGAAGTTTTAAGCATCATAAAAACAGTGAAATAGCATGCTAACCACACAATTAGCTATTTTTTGAAGAAAATGATAAGCTTTGGAAACGCGGCTTCATCTCATAGTGGTTTGATTCCATTGAAAACTGTGTACAAAAAAAGAGGGGAATTGCTCTGGGCGATCGCGAGTAAGAAGAATTTTATTAACTTGCATTCAGCTGCTTTTGTTACAGTTTTTGCACGTAATTTGGTCCACGCCTACAAATTTCGCATTTTCCAAAAAACCGCTCGATAAATTTTTTTATAAATTGGAAAATCCCGAGATCAATCGTCAATAAATATACCCTGCGAGTTTCAAGAACATTGAAAACAGGGAAGGCTTTTAAATAGGGCCTCAAATATAACCAATTTTTCCCCCAGATTTTGTATTTACAAGTGAGCGTCCACATTATTCACTGGCATTGTTTTCAAGAATCATATGCACGTGCACATTTAGCAAAAATAAATAAATTTGCATCAAAAAGAACTCTCGATTACTTTCGAAAGAAATATCCGGAATATGCTAATAATTGGCTTGTGTCACAGATAGCAGTGAGAGCCGAGACGGTGAACGTCATGGCTCATCTTGTAGGATGTAACACTTAATTATCTTACTCGGGTTATAACATCACAGAAACTCTTACAAAGAGTTGCTGTGATGTTAGAATATATCACTAATTTCTTTACCCGGTTATTAGCATATTCCGGAGATTTAACCGAGGGTCCTTTTTGATGCAAATTCTGTCTTTTTGCGAAATGTGCACGTGCATATGAAACTTGAAAACAATGCCAGGGAATAATGTGGACGCTCACTTGTAAACACAAAATCTGGGGGAAAAATTGGTTATATTTGAGGCCCGGTTTAAAAGCCTTCCCTGCTTTCAATGTTCTTGAAACTCGCAGGGTATATTTATTGACGATTGATCTCGGGATTTTTCAATTTATAAAAAAAATTATCGAGCGGTTTTTTGGAAAATGCGAAATTTGTAGGCGTGGACCAAATTACGTGCAAAAACTGTAACAAAAGCAGCTGAATGCAAGTTAATAAAATTCTTCTTACTCGCGATCGCCCTGAGCAATTCCCCTCTATTTTTGTACGCAGTTTTCAATGGAATCAAACCACTATGAGATGAAGCCGCGTTTCCAAAGCTTATCGTTTTCTTAAAAAATTAGCTAATTGTGTGGATAGCATGCTATTTCACTGTTTATATGATGCTTAAAACTTCGTTTCAAAATATTTCGAAAACGCTCTCATAGAATTTGTTCAAACTTTGCAATAATTGAGGCAATTATGGCAGGTACAAACTCCCTTAAGCGATTTCTTAAAAAAACTCCTGGTGCAGAGAAACACAAAGATAAATAAACAACCAAATGGCGTCGTTACGTTGCCAAGGCGACTCCGATTGCAATAAAACCCAGATCACAAGAAATTTTCATCTTTATATAATACAGTTGTGGAAACCTTTTTTCCATATCTTTACTCATGGCGACGTAATTAATGCTCAAACTTGGGAGGTATCCCCCCCAAAAAATCCAGTCGAGCCACCTTAATTACGCTAGCTAGTTTTTGTAAATTATGCTCATTATAGCAGAAAGTGCAGAAATTATACTTCTTCTTTGACCCAAAGAAGGATTTACAAGAAAGCGAGCTTGCGAGCAACTGCAAAAATTTTGGGACCACGAGCAAGCGAGCACTCGTTTAAATTTTGCGAGCAAATAGAGCAAACCCCGGCAACAGTTTGACCATGGTATCATGGTTTTTAATTGCCGACCATGTTTCACCATGTTCGGCGATGGTGTGACCGTGGTGTGTGACCATGGTCTGTTCTGTTATCAGCTCTCGACCATGGCACTTTGCCAACCATGGTTACAAAATAAATTATGGCCTTTTATTAAATCAGTAACAGCAAACAACAAACTAGTTATGTTTATGTGATTAACTTAAAGTTTACGATAAAATTTCTGCTTTATTTTATTTTTCTCGAGGCAAATATTGAAGTGACTCAAGACCACGAAAAACCATGTTCGACCATCTCCAATCCTTGGTCGGACTCAATAACGGAAATCAGTTTCCTGTTGAGTATGTCCTAAATTATTT